AGACAACATGTATATGAACATAAAGAATTAGCTTACACTACAATGGAAACAGAAAAAATAGCATACTGAATTGCACAAGGCCGTGGCGTACCGCTCAGTGGAAATAAAGCTAATGTAGATGAAATTACCTTACGGAGATGTAGCACACGTCTAATATAATCCCCTTCAAGCACCTCTTTATCCTGGATCTTTGCAGCGTAAACCTGCTGAATTTGCTGCTTTAGATCTTTAATAAGCACACAACACTTCTGCTCATCTTCAATTCGCTGCTGCAGATGAATTCTGTCCAAAGTCCCAAAGAGAAATGGAGAGCAATCAATTGATGATTCTTCAGAAAAACAAAAACTTCCGGTTGAGCAATTTCCAAAATAAGTTAACATTTAAAAACACTCTTTGTAATTTGGTTGGATTGATTTGAGACAAATTCTTAAAGACAAGTTCATACGAAGTTGATTTCTCTCCCACCTGTTGAACTCTGGTAGCTTCTCCAGGTCTAACAAAGCAGAGTGAGTTTTGATCTTTGAAGGATTAAACTCAGAAATCAGTTCGTCTAACCTCCGTCCCATTCGATTGGCTGTATACATGGATAAACACATAATTATTATTACTTAAATTAAGTTAATATTGACAGTGCTCATCTTAAGCTTATTGCTACTAGTGTGAGCCCCATCTGATATTGATATCAAAAACTGATCCATTATCAGCCAAGAAACAAGTATCGCATAATATCAGGCTGCATCTAAAATCTCCACCCCAGCATTTAATCCGCCTTAGCATTTCTACACATCAGCACTTGTATCCCACACGCAGATAAATTAATGAATAATAAATGAGTCAGTTATTCTCTTACCTATTGTTTATGATTAGTATTTTCTGAATAACACCACTTGATCATGTCTTTTCAATTTTGTTATCGGTCAATACTTAAAGCTGCAATATCAGTATCATATCAGAAGTGAAAAAGTAGCATTGAGACACCCCGAAGTGTTATATGTCACCCGTCGCCACTTACAGGTAAATCCAGATCCACAGTTGGTTGTGATATCCAGCAGAGCCTCAGGGAGAATCCCTTCTCTACAGAATTTTTCAATGAATATGTCCCCCTGCCTCTTGGACAGCTTGCTGCCGTCACTATTCATCAGAAGCGGTAGATGTCCGAAGGTGGGCGGCGTCCATCCCAGCGCGCGATACATGAGGAGATGCTTGGAGGTCGAGATGAGCCACTCGGATCCTCGCAGAACGTGGCTGATCTTCATGTGATGATCGTCTACGATGTTGGCCAGGTGGTAGGTGGGGAAGCCATCTGCTTTAATCACAACTGGATCGCCCTCCACCTGAGGATAAGAATGAACAGGTTGAAGAAATATATTTTGGTGTCCCACCAGGTCCAGAGTAACGACGTGCTGACATTCCCAACTACACCTTTCATGGTGAATTCCCCTCCAGACCAACCTGGGCCACCTCATGGCGGTTCCATCCGAAGATCAGGTCCAGGAACGGCTCGACGCCGGCTTCCAGTCGAAACCTGACCACATGCGGAGCTCCCTGAGCCAGCTTCTCCTGGACCTGGTCTGCTCGCAGGTGACGACATCTGTTGTCGTAGCTGTAGAAACAGGCGAACACTCAATTCTGTGCAAAAATCCTGCAGACGTCTTTGATCCATTTTGGCTGTTCAGGAACAAAGTTTCGTGACCGTTTAGGTACCGTGGTGTCTGGCCGGCCCTTAGAGCCTCTTTTTTCAGCAGCTCAAGCCTCTGGGGGCTGCAGAAGCAGTAGTAGCTGTGACCACTCTCTACAAGCTTCCTGGCAGTCTGATTGTAGAGGTCTAATCTTTGGGACTGCAGGTATGGACCCCGGGGTCCTCCCCGACGAGGACTCTCATCTGGTGGAATACCTGCAGGTGGAAGTAAGCACTAGAGACTAGACTGTGTTTTATATAGTGATAAAATAAGGGCTTAAAATTGTAAAACAAACAGAAATGGATTCCAAAGTTAATGTTTTTAACCGTCTTTACCATACAGTATTTGTAAGTAGAGTGGATAGTTTTGCTGAAACAGTATTCTAAGGGTGTTTTCACACCTGATCTTCTGATAGACTTGGTTTAATTGGGAACCAAAATTCAGGGTTTCCCCTAGTGTATCAGAAGTCTGGTGGGCCACCAGGATATACTTACTTCCCCGTCTGGCTAAGAGTTGTTTGTTTATTTTAAAAAGGGCTTTTTATATACCAGTAACAGTGACACCAAAGATGGGTTAAACAAGCTTTATAGCTGATACACTGAACTGGGTGCAAGAAGGTGTGAACCAATTGTGCTGTACCTGCTTGTGTTGACCTCACAAGCTATTATTTCCAAATTATGATGCTTGCTTGTCAACCTCTATGTTTTTGTAACTTTTAGCATTTTTTCACCCGCTGGTAGACTCCCCTCGCGGCCCTTCACTTTATTTTCAGCTGCTCCTGTTCGCGTTCACATCGCACTGTGTCAAACAATCCAAATTCTTTGAAAAACCTCTTACCAGCCCACTCCAACATATCCTCTATAGACTCTGCTGCTCCTGGAACCAGCCTGCTCTGATCTGTGTCCTCCAGTCGCAGGATGAACTTGCCTCCATATTTCTTAGCAAAAATATAGTTGTAGAGAGCAGTTCTGAGACCTCCAAGGTGCAAAAATCCTGTAAACCACAGCAATCAAATTAAAAAGTATGGTTCTTAAATCAGACAAAAAGAGGTTTCAATAAAAAAAAAAATCCCTAAATTTCCAAACAGACTGGAAGCCTAAATTCCCACATGACCATAAAACATACAATGCACCATGCTTTTCTTAAAATTAAATGGTTACATTTTCCTAAGTAAATATTCATCTGGCTAAGAATTTCAGAAGCACTTAACTAATTATTCATTGACTAACAACAGTGACTTCACTAAATTAAAGTTATTGCTTTTAGTCACAAATTGAAGATTTAGACATAAAAATATCTAATGTACTACTTATTATAGAAATACGTGTGAACACATATAAACCCACTAATCCGCACACACGTAAATATAGTCCATGTGCATGAAGTTTTACACTGAACATTATAAGCATGTCGTTTAATACTTGTACGCTTTACGATACACAAAGAGGATGATCTCTTATCTTCCAAACTTAGAATAACTCCACGTTACCTGAGGACCTCACCTGTGGGGCTGGGGGCAAAGCGGACCCTCACCTCGCCCTGAACAGTGGAGCACCATCGGTACACAGGAGCTGAGTTCACCTGGGGCTCAGCCCGTCTGTGTCTGACTGCTGTAAGAGACTGAAACCCCCGCTGAAGAACACGACTCCGCAGAAAACACCGTCTGCAGATCTTCAACCACACCAACATGGCGGCAAAACGGCTTAATTACTAACTAACAACCGAAAAACACACATTGTGAGAGAGAACACAATCACATTTTAGCAGAAACTCCCATTCGGCCTCTATTTTCTGTCAATGTGAGTCATTTCTTCTTCTTGTGCACAATACGACTGGAGAAACCACTAATGTTACTAACACTGCCATCTAGCGAGAGGGCAGCTCTCTTTTTGGCCAAGTTCATATTTTTCAGCTTCTCCCTTTAGGGGGCGCCAGAAAGCAAGCCACCATGTTGGATTAGATTTATCTATGCGTTGCGTTCCTGCCATGACACATCTAACGCATCCAACACCCCACATAGACTTTGAATATAAACCAGACTTGCCTGACTCTCAAAACCTGTTTGATGTGAAGGCACCATTAAAATTTCCAACTTCAATGGTAACAATGACATCAACAGTGATGACATCACTCTGATGCAACAAATGAATCCCTCTCTTGAGTGTCGCACACAGATTGTTTTTTCAAACCTCTTCCTGTTTCAGACTTATAAGTTATGAATCTTCTACAGGAACATTGTTAAAATTATTTGAAGACACAGAATCAGCCAAGTACAGATTCACAATCTCAGGTTAGGGAGACTCACCTGGTATTAAGTAAAATTTTTTGGTACTGGAATTACATTTATTAATTTAATGGACAGATCCCAGTTAAAGAAACATTCTATTAGGTGAAGAGCAATAGGTGCCACCATGATGCACCATGCATTGCCACAGCTGCAATAGCAATGCAGTTGTGGCCTGCATTGCTATGGGCAGGCCACAACTAGAGTAACAAAGAATAACTAGACACAAGACGTAAACACAACTATGAACACCAAGAAGGACCGAAGAAAAAGTAAAACAGAAACCAGACTGATCAAATGAAAGAACATGAGGAACACAGAATAGTCAAACCTCAAAAAACTTAATATCCCCCCTATAGAATACAACACAGTGAGCCACTATTAACCATGTCAGGAACCATGAGTTGATTGTCTATTGTAACACAGACCTTAACGTATCAAGAAGTGACAAAAGAAAACCTGTTAAACTTGATTTGGGTATGCTCACAATGTGCTGTGTATGGGTGTGTGTGTATGTGTGTGTGTTTGTATATGTTAATAAATTTAAAGTTCTCTCAAGTGTTGGGTTAAACACATTTCCTCGCAGCCCTAACAGATCATGTCTGCATTTTTCTGTGATATATTTACCTCTCGGTGAAAAAACAACACAGACTTGTTTGAAAAAAAAAAAAGACACATAGCTCAATAAAGGCATCATACATCATACATCAGAGGTCACCTGTGACCAACGTCAGACCATATTTTGGTGTTTCTTGGTACTGGAGTGGGTGTGGTGACAGATTACTGTCCAGCATTCAGAATAAATGCTGAACAAAACTCAAGTAAATAAAACGTTATAAAATTCTGCTGAAGAAGACAAAAAACATGAACTTCCTCTCTTCTTATATATATATTTTTTTGCTCGCTTTCTCAGTAGCAATGATTTGTGAAAAGCCAGCTGTGACTGCATCGTCACACTACCTGGAATCCTAGTTTGTCCACCTTCCTCACCTGTGACCTCCTCTCAAAGCAACACACCCTGCACAATTAACACAGCAGTCTCAGGTGTCAGGAGGGAGAGAGCGAGAGAGAGAGAGAGAGAGAGAGACGCTCCACAGCACCTGGAGGACTCTACATACAAACAAGGTAAAAGATTTCACTCTGATTTCAGGGACTTCTTCTTATACTCTATTTATGTGCTAGGTATTTTCTTAAAGGAGAGATCAATTAATTGTAAACTTGTAATCCACAACATACAATAGAGCGCCTTTTAAATGTGATCCATCTGTCCAAAAAAGAAACAGGGGAAATGCTGACTCATGCGACTTGTTGTGAAGTGAAAGATTCATAACCAGGGGAAAAGAATGGAAGTACTGAAGCAGCATCGCTCGCTTCTCATTTATAAATGCATACAACGCTGTGAATTAACCGGCTCTGTTAGTGCCTTTCAACATCAATGGCAGTTTTTCCAAAAGTTATATTTGTATACATATCTATTTGGTAAGGATAATTACATCAGTATTATTTATTGCTGTATGACTCATTAGTTGTCAATCCGAACTCTCATGTTGTTCTTTTTAACATCATAATTAACATCATAATTCATTTTATTTCCTTTCTACATATTTGAAAGTTTCTCATAACTTTTCATTAATATGTTTGTCTTTACAGAGAATTTGTTTTTTGTAAAAAGAAAAAAAATCTGTATTATTGTTTACAGTAGCAGATTTTTTGTCATCTTTCAAACTTGACCTTTGAACTTGGGGGAATTTCTCTTTTAAATGACCCGAGTGATGTTTGCCCTTTCTCTTCTGTATGTACAAATGTCTCACGGAGCGATCCTGAGCAAACACCCAGATTTAAACCTGCCTGTCGTTTATCCTCACAGGTTCAACACAAGACAAACCTTTTCGTTTTCAAAACTGTTACATTAATTGTTTCTCAATTAGAGAAAGTCACAAACAAACCAATACGTTAAAAAAATTTGCCTTAACATTCAAAATTTGTGGTATCTCCACCTAGTGATTTCTCTAGAGAGAGACTGAGATATGTTTGTGAGACTGCACTCACAAACCATTTTAATTAGTGTCATTATGTAAGCTTGTTAATGGATGCTGGTAAACTGTGGACACAATCTTCCATTTATGTCAGATTGATGTTAATTGTAAATCACAGGTTATGAGTTATTCAAACTGATGCCTATTTAAAGGCATCAGTAAAAAAAGATAATATTTAATGAATTATCAATCACATGTTAGCATAATTGATATCAACCACCTCAATCTTTTTCATGTCTTTTAATGTAGACATTTGATGTTTAAATCTACATTCTGTGCCCTCGGAAAGGGTTGAAACACGGAGAATGATCTGAAAGGGCGATCTTTGGAAATCCTGGAAGAGATATGAGCAATGATTTAGATTTTAAATTTTTTTTTCACCAACGTCATGTATTTACTGGGGGTAAAAATAAATCACGAGGGAAGAAATTTACTCCAGAAAAAGGCCTTGGTGAGGAAGGAGTAATTATTTTTTGATGTGTTTTTGTATAAAGAAGATATTTCTAAGTTGATTTTTTTTAAGCTTGTCTTTTGAGTTGAAAATAGTCTACAACTTATACCTTAAATTTTACTGTAGTAGAGAAAAACCTCTGCAAAAGAAGCTGTAAATACTTTTATCAAAGTAATAATTTTGGGTTTTATGTCTTTAAGTCACAGCCTAAACACCCAGCAGTAATTAAAACCTCAGCTTTCTTTCTCTCCTTTCTCCAAAGTCAAGAGAACACAGAGACCCGTGATAGCAAAACTAACCCAGCTAAATCCTAACCCTAACCTCAGCGTTAGGGTTAGGATTTAGCTGTTGGGAACCTTTGACGCGACTGACAGACGATTGATAACTGATATGTTATTGTACTTATAATACACAAACTTACTATATATATATATATATATATATATATATATATATATATATATATATATATATATATATATATATATATATATATATATATATATATATATATATATATATATATATATATATATATATATATATATATATATATATATATATATATGTATTTCTTGTTCGCCCCACACCACTGCTTGCCTTAAAAATAACTCAGATAGTTTTTATATTTTTCTGGCAGATGGAGAATCAAGAGAGATAATAAACACAAAACATTTTTACAAAGATCTACTAGATGTCGCAAAGCCCATTGTCAAAGAGCTGAATGGTGTGTAGTTTCAGCACTCTTTTCACAGATCTATTATTGTCTCTGAATGTGTTTGTTCTGGTGTTAAAGGCCTCTTTATGCTACATTGACTGTAAAATATCTTATTGCCACTCCCTGGCTCCTGCTCAAAAGAAAAACGCAGGTATCAGGGTGAAAGAACAGGCGACAATGGATGGGCTAAACCTTCAGGACTGCAGTCATTTATCATGCTTTGAAATACATGACTTTAAAAGGTGTTGCGCCTCTCAGAGAAAATGTCACTGTGCTGTGATTTGTTGAGTTTAGTAAAAAAAAAAGTAAATAGTGCATGTTTTAATAGCCAAAGGCCAGTTTTTAACCTTGTAAATCAACAATTGCTTTTCAGAGAATAGTGACTCATTTTCATCTTGTCTCTTGTTCGCTCTAGAGATTTTCAACAAAAGCGCCCTGATCCCATGGCATTGGTCACATTATGAAATCACACTACCTATTCCTGCTGGTTTACCTCGTTGGAGCCTCCACTGGTAAGAGCAGGTTGTTTGTCTTCAAGCAAAACACAATCAAACTTTACAGACATCAAAAAAAAATCTGTCATGATTTGTTCTTCACATTCTATTTAAAATTCAAAACAAACAAATGACTCATTCTAACATGGTATGTTGTTTTTGTAAAAACAAGTTCCCCCGTTCGTAAAAGATATAGTGTTGCGCAAATGTCTCTGATGAACTAGCTTGTCAAAAACACACGCGGGGTCAGTACCATCTCGCTGGACCGCACACAGAATAAAAAGCTCATTTGGCCCCATCTCTTCAGACTGTTCTTTAGAGTTTGGCTGCTTCTTGGTGTACCAGTCGTCTCGTTGTCTCTGACCAACAACTAGAGGATTTTATTGAATCTGATCTGCTAGAAATCAAAACTAGATGAAAGTGAATGAATGAAGGTAAACCATATCTGAAAGTCATACCTTTGAGAAATGTCAGGCAAAGACCTGTGGCAGACCAACAGGGAAACATAATCCTTCAAAGTTAATTCCTTGCATGTTTTTTTTTGTTGTTGTTTTTTAGCTCACAGCTCTTTGGGAATCTATTGGTGCTTAGATTAAATTTGATTTCTAAAATGGTTACTTTTAGTATCTTTTGATAAATAAATAGGACCAAACCAGGTTGCTAATATTGGGATGCCTAACGATACAATTGAAAAAGAATAAAATATAAACCTACAAAAACCGCTACAGCACACAATTAAACTAAAAAGTCCAAAGCGCTTAATTGCACTACATACAGAAGAATGTTACACAGTCTTGTACTGCAGTCAACAATGCAGATTTGCAAACGTGAGTGATAAGCTGAGCGAGGAGCATCACACCGGTGTGCTTGACGGCAAAAACAACTCGATGGTTTAGATGGGGATTCACAGAAGCAGCTTTAGAATAGTCCATAGTTTTGCTATTAGTCTTTTTTGGCTTATTCTAGCGGTGTGTTTTGGGTCATTGTCTTGTTGGAAGACCCATGAATTTCAACTGGACCCATCAGTGAACAGAAGGTGAAGTTGTGAACCATGACATCCTGCGCTGTTTTAGAATTGTAGTCCGCCTGTGCTTTTAGGAGCGGCGGTGGAGGAAGTGAACAAAGCTGTTCAGTTTGTGTTGACCACGCTGTCAAATGCTGAATTAACACTGACAGTTCTGCTCAGCACTTCTCTCTCGACAGAACAGTCAAATTCTGGTAAGCTTCTTGCCATTGAATCTGGGCATTACATATGTCACGAACGAATGTTATCGATTGGGTAAAATTTGAAGCAGAGTTTACCATGCCTTCAGGAAACAATCGTTTCTCTGTAGCAAAGAGTCCAGAAACTTGGGATGAAGCAAATCGCGTAGAGTAAGGAAGGGCCTGGTTTGACCAGGCTACCACCAAAGTAGGGACACTCTTCTTCTCTTGGTACTCTTCATTTTTACATTTCTAAACGTCAAGCTGGTGAACATTGCCAAAAAGTTCCAGTTTTGTGTCGTGCAAAGGACAATTTCTCATAAGCTTTGCAGCTCGTCAACATCCATTTCCAGTAGTGCTTTTTTTTTTTTTTTTTTTTTATAATTTTCTTTGAAAGTGGTTTATTCCTTTATTGTTCACCTTTAAAATCAATTTGACTGTAGGCAACAACATCATCAAGGAGATTGGCTGCAGGCCTATGGTCTTTAAACTTCTGGATAACATGTACAACTGTAGTCAAAGGAGCATGAAGTTGCTCAGAGACGCTGTCATAGCCTTTACCTTCAACATGATTGTCTATCCGTTTCTTTCTAATCTCCTAGGAGAACTCTCTCCTTTGCTTCAGTGTGGTACACACCATGTCACCACACATCACAGTGTCTACATATCACCCTTTGGATACACAGACTGACTAATTAGAAGCTTGGAGACACCTGCAGTGCTAATTAGAGGACACATCTTAGGGACACATGTCCCTTGGGTCATCATTTTTGCCCAGGTCTTCATTAGTTCAACTAGAAAAGCAGTGTCTTATATTCATTGACCAATTTCCAGTAATTTTTTTTATTATCACTTGTCAGTTTCAAGTTGCTTCAGTGACCCTTGTGTACCAACAACTTTGTCCACCTGTGTATATTTTTAATAGTTTGACGGGTTTTCTCACTGGATGAATAGCTGATTCATATCAATAATATTATAATACATTAAGTTTGAGTTTTCAGTTTGAGTTTTGTTGGACTAAACCATGTGTCTGTGAGAGGTTTGTTTGAATAGTCTAGTAACACAATGAACCAAAAATGCTTTATTATAAGATGTTTTATTTTAATTAAATGGTTCTTTGACACAACTGAATCTGTAAACTTTATCTTATACATATAAATCTAACAAAAAACTCTATTTCATTCTATCAGGAAATTCAAGGGCACAAAGGTAAGATTAATTTCTCATCTCGAAAGCACATAAAAAATCTCTAGCGGGAGGAGCATTAGATGTTCTTTTAGATTTGTAACTATTCTAGTCTGTTCTAAGTGGGATGACCTGTGACATATTTCAACTCTATTTTTTTTCATCCATCTATTTAACTTGCAGGAATACAACATGTGGAACAGAAAGCTGCGGTCAGGTGAGTCAGAAACCAATGAGTTCTTCACCTGTGTGGTTTTTCAGAATAAAAAGTGAAATCTGTTTTTATGACAACCACCAAATCTCCTCATTTTTAGTATGGGCTTTTAATTAGTTATTTCAGGAGGGAAATGTCTTTTAGTGTTTACTAATAATGAAATGTTATTTAGGTATCTAATCAGAACTTAAAGTTACTTCAGTTCAGTTCAATGTTCCATCATTGTTCTCTCGTGATTTATGAGTCAGAGCTGTTTGTTTTCATGCAGCTCATAAATATTTGTGAACCTAAAACTAATTTTTTTCCCAATTTCTTCTGGGGGATAAAAGTTTAAGATCAGACAAAGATAACCTAAGGTACACAAAAAGCTATCTTCCAATGATCATTTCACTTGCTCCACAAAAAAAGACCCCATCGTCTTGGTAACTAACAAGTTAATCGTCATCGTCCACATTAAAAATAAAGCTGAACTTGCGCCTGTCTCACCACATATGGTAAGTTAAGACATTGAAAAAGAAACTCATCATACTCCAAATAAATTCAAGAGAAGATGAAAAACAATGTCATCTCTTTATATCAGACTAGAAATGGTTACACAACCATTTCTAAAACAGCCCTTTTCAATTATTATTTAATTATTATTTAATTGGTTATTTAAACCAGTTGAAACCAGTTTGATTACCTGAAACATTTAATTGTGATGAGAGTAAAGCCAGAAGAAATGGGCCAGACTTTTTTACAGCACTGTAATTAAGGATAAAGTGAGGAAGAGACATAAAGTGCACCCAAGCTCTAATAAAAATGAATATGTGTTTGGTAAGGAGTCCATTTTTGAAGTTCAAAACTCATGTGAGGATGTCATAAGAAGTTGCCAAACTACCCCAGTCACATACCATGAGATTTCTTTCAAAGTGACAGGATCATCACTCCTTGGTCTTTATAAACCAGTTTTTTTAAAGCCAGGATTACTGGCTTAGTGACAAGGTGAACTCTGAGTTTCCAGTGTCAAAATGAATGTTCGCTTCCTCGTTGCATGAGCTAGACAAACCTGTTCTGGAAAAAACTTGTGGGTGAGTTGAGAAATCAAGAACGCAAACTTAATCTTCTAGAATAAGTTCTGCTGGGAAAATATGTAAATGGACTGCAGGAGAATCTCCTCTAAGACTGCACCACTCCCAAAAAAGCAAGAATGTCAGTGAACGTCACTTGAACATCATTAAGAGCAAAATGCATTTATCCTATTACTCATATTTCATGTTTAATATTTTATGTGTTTTTCCTGACATTTATGGTTCTTGTAGTTCTTAGATATTCTGAGAAATATTTTCCAATTGGCTAATAGAACATTGTTTCCCCACATCAAAAAAATGAATAGAAACTGTGAGTCTGTTTGAACTATAACTCATCTGCCTGAAAGCAAAATACGAGGTAAAGCTACGTCTGGTTTAGATAACGAGATAACGGCAAAAGTAATTTTCAAAAAGTGCAAAGAAAATAAAAAGGAATATACACTATGTCAATAATGAAGAAAAATCTCACATACAGTAATAAAATAAATGCATAAAAAGTAACTTTCAAAAGGTTTATTTATTTAAAAATAGGAGAAAATTAAAGTATAAATAACTTTAATTTGATTTAAAGTTATTTAAATCAAATTGTTTGATTAAGCTACTCCATCTATTACCACAGATTACCTCATGGCTGCTTGCATTTGGGATTTTTTTTCTATTTATAGGTCATGATCTTATCACATGGAGATCAGAATGTACATGTACCAATAAACCAAGAGCTTAACCTTTATGCTGACCTCCGTCTTCACCACAACAAACTGTCACATAACTGCAGTAAAGAATCTAGTTCATTCTGTCAGGCAGTGTTGTAGTCAAGATCACTTAACCCGAGACCAAGTCAAGATCAAGACCAGCACGCTACACGACACAATCAAATGTGAAATATCCTCAAAATTGCTAATCAAATTGATCTGAAAGATTCACATTCCCATAAAAACACCTATTTTTTTAAATACTCAGAGCTGAAATAAATTGAACCAATATTAAAAGCAGAACAAACTCTTTGTTCTGCTTATCTAAAAAGATAACACCCTGGGCATTTGCCCCTATCAGCGCTGTCAGTGAGGCTCCAGCCCTGTCTTCTTCGTAAAGAGTTCAGAAGAATCAGATCGCTCTTGAATGTCACATCACTGCATTACAGACTTTTGGACACAGTGTTGTCCCATATCTGCGACATGTTAGCCAACACCTGCGCACAATAACTCAGCGCAGTGAATGACGGAGCTTACCTTTCTTTGAGCTTCTTTTCTAAGTGATGATTAATTTTGAAGTCTTTCCATAGATTTACATTTGGATTAGTCGTGGTAGCCATTGTAGCACAGGGATGCACTTGAAGCTATTCATGGATTCAACTGTAACTGTTTTTGTGTGTGCAGGGTTGTTTTCCTGCCATCAGGTTTTTTGAGGCCTCATTCTTCCTGGTGTACAGTTGATGAACGAGTGTAGATAAGATTGTGGTTGTGCTATGGTGAATTGCACAGCATATTTCTTGAGAAATTCCAAGCTTAATTTTTTTTTTCTAACCCAATCCTGCAGAACCGTTTTGTCAAAACATCAGACAACTGTGTTCCTTGCTGTTTTGTCACTAATGATATTTAAAAGGGCAGCATTATGCATATTCAATGATTTTGAGATTTATATAATCAAAAACATACCTGGAGTGTTGCTTTGATTCTTCATACATGTTTGAGAAATCCTTTAGCCTCCCATGGCAACCATTCAGTTGTGCAAAACGCCTGGGGTGGACCTAGCTCTGCTTTCAAGAATAAAGCTCCTCGTCAAAGCTGCAGTTTACAAGCTTCCACCTCACTACCCTGCACACACTATTTGCAGTTAGGTGCAAAGTTATTGATTTGACTCACAAATCCAATCAATCAATTTTGATTCGTAAATAATTTCAGCTATATTTTTCAGAGATAAACCATTTAAATTTGATTTGCAGGGATTTCTTAAGAAAAACATTGACTCACATTCATGTACTTTATTTTCTGATACCAAAAAGCAAATAGCATGGGTCATTTGTTGTGACAAATGTGACAAAACAAAAGTCAAAATTCAATAGATTTCTCAGGGGATGGTTAAAGCTGTTGAATGTTGTAACTAAAATGTCCTTTCTGTTAAATGTCCCAAGGAGCCAGACGCGACCTCCCGCTTCCTGCAGTGTGTCGGCTTGCCGTCCACAGACACAGGAAAAGACCACATACAGAGGCTGAAAGTGATGCTTGAGGCCACAATGGACGTGTACACCTTCATGGTATGACTTCTACTGGCACGCAACGCAAAAAGATGCTGCGCATATTCCAGACTGACCAGACCAGTTGTCACTGTTATTGTTTCTGCTTTTTTTTTTCACAAGTCCTCAACACTTGTGAACTTGTGCTTTCGCATCGTGACACACTGCTTGGAAAAGACTTACGACATCTTCCCAGGAACCTTTTCAGAACTTTAATCCATTTTAACCGTTGTTACAGAAATCCAGCATGACGGGTGTGCCGGTCTTGAGCCTGGAAGGAGCTTTGAATTTCAACCCTGGAGCAGATCCTCTCCAGAATGAAGCCCTGGTTCAGATGTGGCTTGAGGTCAAAATCAAACCTCTGCTGGGTTCCATCACCAAACACTTCCTGTCCTGCCTCAGCACAAAGAACTTCAGCTGCTCCTCTTATCAGACTGTGTATGTCTTTATTTTTTTAATTCTCAACTTTATTTTTAGTTTTGATAGTAGCTGTTTGAAAATGTATTTTGATATTTCTGTCTTGCCTTTCAGAGTGAGAGAACTCAGCCAATATTTTTCAGAGATGAATCCAGTCAGACAAAAGTGGATCTACACGTTCTTCATGTATCCCTTCCTGTCTGGAGAAAGAGTTGCAGGTACATGTTGCTAAAGGAAATAAAAGCAACAGAAAAAAGAAATGTATACAAAAAGAGAAAAAGTTGTCTAAATGACTTGTGGGAAAGACCAATTGAAGTCAAAGCAACGTCTAAAGTTGCCAGAAAAACAGAGGACGCTGCATTAGCAGAACAAACAAAGCACACGACACAAATAACAATGAAAAGAAAATATTTTGCGTTATGACTCAACCAACTTTACACCTCTCAAGACCTTTGCCTTTTGCTAGCTAAAGTTCAGTTCTGTTTACTGTTTCTTGTTCTTCATCATTATTTGACCCTTGATATTTTCTAGCTAACCTCTGAAAACTTCACAGAACAGCTGTGTCATCCTGAGACTAGATTAGACATAGATCGAATCCAGATTAAGTTACGTAAGAGGCACTTTAGGACCATTGTTGACAGAAGAAAAATAGATTCAATTACTGCCAAAAAACTGAACAATTTTGGAATTAAGTTCAGAAAGTTTCTAGAATTTTTTTTGGAAGTTTCTGAGTTTCAAAAAGTCCAAAATTTTGAGAAAAAAACTCAAATATTTTGTGATTAATGTCAGAAATATTCTACAGAAGACTTGCTAAATTATTGAGTTTCAAAAGCTGAACATTTTTCTAAATCTTTTCTAGGTTATTTCTCACAATCTCAAACACAATTGGCAAAAATGAACTCCCTTTTTTCTGTCCGCAGTGTCCCTAATATGCCTTTGTAATTACATCTTAAACTAATCTTTTTTAAAATTTTCTTTTTTTTAAGGGTTGCAAGGAGTTTAATAGAAATGCATGGCACACCAGATGGTTTATTTACAAAAAAGAAACCTAACTGCCTCTTCACAGCAATGCACTGCTTTTTGTTGCCAAGTTATTCAAAATTTACATATACATTTCAAAAATTAAAAGTAAACAGGAGTCCAAGGAATCCAAGATGCCATAAATGTAATTTTTCTGTCCTTATTCAAACCTCCTGTCCTGATGCCTATAAACCGTACATCTGCTCCTATTTCTTGATGCATATTTATATGTACTTTATGTGTAGGTTGTATGAACGGCAATGAAAGCAGCGAAGAATGGCTGATGAAGAATTTTGGCGCCTTCAGAGCGATGGCCCAAATGAAGGACTTCACCAGCCTCAACATGGTCTTCAGTGGGGTGAGTCAGACTCACTTCCTATGAATGACTCGAACGGCCGCCTCACTTTAAATAACATTTAACGTTATCATACATGAGTTTGAGCACTCGTGCGATATATGAGTTTTTGTTTGTCACGTCACACCACTCTCTCTGTTTTTGGCCACAGCTGGAGGTTCTCCACCTGCTCTCTCCTGCACAAAAGGCCGAGCTGCTCTTAAAGCCTGAGGTGGCTGGTTTGGACAATGGCACCCTGACCCTGGTCTTCAACAGTCTGCTGCACGGTCAGCAAACGACTCCCAGCCCTGGAAACTCGTCTGTGGTGCCATTTGGTTATTCATCTCCACACAGCACTCTCAAAGAGGTAAACGCACCTTGTTGTATGTAATTGAAGTTCTGTTTCACAGGAATAGAGGGACGGATTTGGCCCGCGGGTCTTGACTTGACACTTGTGTTCTCGAGAAGCCGTGATTCTGTTTACATTTCGTTTGCAGACAGAGCAGAAAGCCCGGGAACACAGGGGCAAATTGTTTCTATGAATAATGAAACAAGTTTTTTTTTCTCTAAAATACATCATCATGTGATTCCTGCAACAAATCACATGCTAACGGTGTCAAGGCCAAACAGTCTGTGAGACGTACAGCTTCCACACTCAAAGGCACGCAGATGCAAAAAAAAAAAAAAACCTTGTAATGAATGTATCTTTTATTCCTGTCATATAGTCCCACTCTTCAATAACTTTTAAATGGGGGTTTTATTGTGCAGAGGATAAAATCACAATGTTTTTAAAAAAAATTAATCAATGTACAATGACACATGTAATTATTGCATCCTCAGCTTTTTTTTAAAGATGATCTGAGTGTCATGGTACTTTTACATATTCAGTTAATGGCTTTTTGGTTCCCTGTGGTATAAACATTAATTATCAGTTTAAATTCCTGTTTGTTAGTTTGATTGGCATCTGTTCAAAATGGAGAGGGTTATTTTTGTTGTTTTTTTTTCTCACAGTTTGTCAGTTTGAAGCAGCTTTGGTTTCTGATATGGGGGATGTGGGCAGCTGGAGGAAACAAGAAACTTCATCACTTCCCATTATTTGTTTTTAAAATTACAGATCGCAAATGGATTTATGACGGCTTTCAGACCGATTGGAAGTTTTGCTCATGAATTTGTTTCGTTTACACGTCAGGTAAATAAACTCACACACACATCCTGAGACGTTGAAGCTCATTGTGACAATAGGAAGTTCAATCGCCCCCTGGCCTCGTGTGTGTCTTACAGAGAGATGTTTCAGAAATAAAAAGCACCACTTTGACTCAGTTCCTGCTCAACTGGACTCTGGCTGAGCTGGCAGACATGTATGAGCCGCCCATGGACCCAGACATCCCCCAGTTTGACGTGACCAACGTGGAGGACTGGTACCAGCAGGTGGTCCTGCCGCTGCTGCGCAGGTTCCTGCCGAACGACGGAGACCTGATGCACCAAAACGTCACGCTCGCTTTTCACGAGCTGTAGTAAGTCAGACTAAGTATAAACTAATTACTCGCTTATTTGACTTCATGTTTACAGGCTTCCCTCTCACACCACTCTTTGTTTGACAAAGATTTTTCTCTTTTAGTCTGTTGGTCCATTTCGCTTTCATCAAAATTGATTTGGTTTGTGTTTTGGATTTGATCTTTTAATTGACAATAATGTAGTCCAGACGTGGATAGTAAGTAGTTACATTTACTTGAGTTATTTTAAACAAATTAAAAAAAAAAATCAACAACCATATATTTCTGCTTGATTCATATTATTTTAACAAAAAGTAACTTTTACGTAAGTATAATTTCTGGATAACACACCAACCGTCATTCAGTTATGTCACTTAATGAAGTACAAACATGTTTAAGCCATAAATGTATGGTGAAACTTTTTGTTTCTCAACAGCCTTTATTGTTTTAATTATATTTTATTTGCTAAGGTGACTCTGGACTCTGGCTCATGCAGGAAACAGTAGATATTGTCACAGAAAGTACTTTCCACTGTTTCAACATGTATTCAATATTAAGTTGGTAATATAGACCTATTTGGTAGGTAAACACGTATTTACAACTGCTTACATATCTGGGTTCAAAAGTTTTATGTGGTGAAAAATTGAGATTTGAAACTCAAGTTTCATCTATTTGAATGTGTTATTTGGTTTTACTCAATTTTAAAATTATTTGTTATTAACATTTACTTTTTACCTTCTAGGAATCTACAGCTATCACATGGTCTCAGATTTTTTTTGTCAAAATGTGAATTGCATAGAAGCCTGGTATCATTGATAGTTTTGTGATTTTTTTTTTTTTGTGAACACACTTACTGTGAAATTCATCTAATCTGCCTCAACTTCTGTGACTGAAGAGTGTAATTCTGAAAGCCTGCAAATAAAATAAAATGAAATCAAACAAACAGTTCTATGTTTCAGTCAGATTTTCTAAATATGCCTTCCAAAAGTGATGTAAGAAGCATACATTTTATTTAATAATAAAAAAAAAAAACTTTAACTTAAGAAAGCAAAAAGAATTGAGTGTCTAACTTTAAATGGAAAAACCTTCAGCCATTTTGTTCGTGTGTGTAATTGAGGCCTTCTCAGTGGCCTACTGTTAATTGCTCATCCACAGTCTCTGGTCATTTTAAAGATGAAAAAATGTCATTTCATTGGTCATCTTTGTCTGAAGCTGTGTATTGTGTTTTTATGCAGTTTTCTGGAACATGGTGGGGAAAATGAATATGATGAACTTCAGGATGTCTGCAGCGTCACTCTTGACAAGAACCCTTGTGGGGTGAGGTTCTGACTTGTATTTTAATTTACTCTGTATTTTAGCTCGATAAAAGAAACCTGCTTTACCTTCTGTCCCATCTTGTTGTTTATGTTGCCCTCAGCTGACCGATGCAGTGGAGAACATAGCCCATATTATGCACTGCGCTGCTAAGAGTGAGCTGACAATGACTGAAGCAACTATCATGAGGCTGATTACTGAGCTGGCTGAACGTCTGAACTCCCTGATCAAAGAATTTACCACAACAGTGAGTATATTAACCTCTCTGGCCTTCTAAACATAAAAGACTTCAGTGTGAATCAGTCACTCTGATAATTCCTCTCTGTTGTCACTGCTGCAACAAAAACTCGAGTCAGTGCTCTTTTGTGTCCTGTAGAACTTTGCGGAGCTGGCATCTGACATTAAGGAGATATTCAACGAGAACGAACCTCCAACTCTGACCCAACATCACCTGGACGACCCCGAATTCATCAAACTCTGGTACCAGATCAAACTGCTCCCCCTGCTGCCAGACGTGAACCCAGACCTCCTCTCCTGCCTGAGCACCAAAAACTTCTCCTGCCCTGTTTACCAAACCCTGTGAGTTCACACATTTTGTGATTTAAAAAAAAAAAAAAAAACGTTGCTGGTTTAGTCACCGTCCTCTTTCTGTTTTCGACATGCAGAGTGGCAGCACTGGGTGAGAGCATGAGGCAAATGGATGCTGACATGATGTACAGTCACAACATCTACAGATATTTCATCTACTCGTTCCTGAATCACAACACCACCGGTAAGCCAAAACATCAGCTGTAGAATTGAAAAAATAACTCGTACACGAAGAAAAGATAACGGTGACCTCAAACACATTGCCCATGTTATTCACCATGCTGCTAAAAGTGAGCTAACAGTGAATGGCGCTGCTCATGGCGGTATGTGATGTCATCAGTTCCATTGTTGCTAAGATACAGACACAATGCCTGAATGTGTTTGTGGCCATATCTGATGATTTTATGCCATAGAATAGAATAGCATTTATTGTCATTGAACAGGATTCAACGAAATTTCTATTGCAACTCCCGTGCAAAAAGTCAAATATATACAATATTAAATAAACAAACACACAATACACCTCTCTGTGTAGCTGGCAAAGAGAAATCCAATCAGTACCCTCAAAACAACCATATTTGGCTTCCTGTGATAACTTTCTTTGTCACTTTTTGAAAAAGTAGTCTTTGAACAAAGGGTTTACATTCAGAGCAGAGAAAAAAAGACTGTAATCTGATTTCCCCAGAAGAGGTGTTTGGTTTTTGATCATTTCCAGGAAGTAGGTGCTTACCCACAGTCATCCTCATCTATCTTTTGTTTGGATAATTTTGAATTAATTTGAGTTACAACATTTAATTTCCCTTTGGGAGAAATTGAGTATTTTGGAATTTTAATTTCACTGGTGATTTTACTAATGTTATGTTGTGTTTAGATTTATTTGTTCCAAACTTACTTCCTGGAAATGATAATTACAAGCTTTAGTTTGATTTATTCAGATAATGAATAATCTTTCTACAAAATTGTTTTTTTTTAGGGTTTTTCTGTGATATTCTAGCCAGACACGAACGAGATGTGAATTTTAACCAGCAACTTATTTTGTAGACTCATGATCTGTTAGGCAATCGTTATTAATTAGTCAAATATATGTTGTTAATTAATGGTATATTTCAGAAACTGTGTATTTACTCGTGTATTATATGGTAAATGTATTTAAGCATCAAAAGATAAATGTAACTTAACATGTTTTATTGTACAACATTGGGGTTCAGAAACCCAGTGCCTCTCTTCAGCCAATCAAAGTGCAGAATGGGTGAAGCTGAACTTTGGGTTCTTCTCAAGCTTTGCCTCCGTCATCGACTTCTACCAGCTCAACCCTGATTTCTCTGCGGTAAGTCTGGGGCCGTCAACGTGCTGGATTAAAAAAACAAACCCTTGTGCTTGTGAGTGAAAACACGTATTTTTTCTCTTTTCCTTTCTCAGTTGGAAGCTCTGCAGGTCCTGACCCCAAAGCAGCTTGCAGAGGTGCTGCTGCTGCCTCTTCCTGGTCTAACGGAGAAAGACACCATTATCCACGCAGTGTTTGACTTCTTGTTGGAGTCACCAGAAGAGAGAAAATTTACCAATGTTCTCCTCTTCATGGTCCAGCTTGCCGGAGAGGTTAATCCTCCCTGCAGTGTCTATCAACTCATGTGAGTTCCTTCTCATGGTTTTAGGTTACACATCTCTAGGTAACTAACTTACTCAAACACTAGCTGTGTTTCCATTACAAATGTAAGAAAACTTTATCAATATGTCAAAACAAACAAAACAATTTCGCAACTGTGGTTCTACCACAGAAAGACGTTAAAATCAGGCGTAAATAAGTTTGTTCACACCTTAAGTCATCAAAAAATAAACACGCCATCATCATCCAACCACTTCTCATTGTTGTCTTCTTCATGTTAAATGAAACCAATTTTTAAAGAGTGGTCCTAAAACACACCTCATCATAGCAGCAAAACTTCTTATCAATAAAACTTTTCTCAATTGGAATGTTTGCTTTTAGTGAATTTATTTTCAAAACATCAAATTCTGCTATTCTATGGTCAAAAAACCCAAAATATAAGAAGTAGAACATTGAGTTTTGATTAAATTTTATTCTTTTCTTTTTCTTTATTTTTTCAAAACATTTTTCATCTTTCACTGAATCCAGTTTTCTTTTGTTTATTTATTTATTTTGCTTGTGGCTTAATTTGTTTTGTTTGTTATTGCGTCAGTTTTGAACGAATGTACAGAGCTGTAATGATGATGCCTCCAGACTTGGAGCCGGTTATTTGGGCGCGCATCGATGATCTGATGGGAGTAGCGCCAGCAGGTGAGTCTCTCCTCAACCTGAAACACCAAAAATGAACTGGCACCCACAAAACGGGCTAAAAGTTCAATTATTGTGGCGTCGTTAACTGACTATATTGTTTTTGTTTGTTTGTTTTTGTTTATGACAGAGTGTGTACCGGCAGAAGTCACGGTGAGTCTTTGATCCTAAAGTTGTTTTCCAGTAACTTTTCTAATTTTTTTGCATGTCGGTAAGAAATTAAGAATTATAACATATCGTTCACAGTGCCAAGACACGCAGATTAACAGTAAGAATTATGTGCTCAGTTTTATTTTATTTTTTATCGAGTTTTTGTATTGTCAAAATATATGAAATCCTACTTTTCCCCTGTTGTTTCACAGGTACTAAAATCTGCCGAAGCATCAACAGGTAATTTTGCCTGATGAGTACAAAATGAAATAAAATCTACCAGGCTCGTTTTTAGACCTTAATAACTAACATTACATGTACTTTTTCAGCTCCGTTCTTCAGTCATACTTCAACAACCACACACATGTTCCATGCAGCTTCACCTTGGAGGAATATGCTTGTGCTCAGGTAACTGTGGCCCAGTGGGTCAAAGTCGGGGTGAAGGTTCTGATGCGCTGCAGGTTTGTCTCACTGTCTTCCACTCACAGCTGAAGGACTTCACGGCCGAACAGCTGGCTTCCCTGATGAGGTGTAATCTGCCCGACAATAGCAGCCATTCCAGGGTCCTGTGGAAGTTGCTGCTGACAAAACTCTCCAGCGTTTTGAACCCAGCGCTGGACATGCTGGCCAACAGGGTCAGCAGCTTTTGGGATCACGGTCTCATTTTCAAGTGTCTTTATTCTTGCGTTACGTGAAACTGGTTTACTCTTCTTACAGTCGGTGGGAATGATCCCTTCAGCGGAGGCCATTTTGGATGTGATTCAGGAAATCAGGCTATCGACGCTGACCAATGGGGAGCTGACGAATAGCAGCCTGATCCGCTTGTGGTTCACAGAGCGTCTAAGCAGCTTCCTGCCATTTGCATCGGGGCGCTTCCTGCTGTGTCTGACCAGCAGGAACTTGAGCTGTCCATCATATCAGCAAATGTGAGTCAGGACACTTTAAGAAAAACCAGCCGATTCACTTGTTTTGTGTTTGAGCAGCATAGCATGTAGGGGTGAGCGATATGGGCTTACAATTTTATCGAAATATTTTGGGCATACAATAAAAATTCAGTTAAAAAAATTGTTACTTCTTTTATAGGAAAGGGTATGTGTCAGTTTTGTTTTTTGTTCTAACATCACTATCTTACTTTATTGAGACAACAACAAATGAGATTTCTTTTCACAATAAGAAATTTGTCAAGATAAGGCTAAACGAGATGATAAATGCCCACCCCTAATAGCATGTTGGGTTTCGTTTCAGTTTTTTTACAGAAATATAAGGACGTAAAGTTTAATAATAATCTACAAAATATACAAACTTACTACAGTTGCTTCTAAGTTGAACTTATTAGAGTTCTTGCTTTGTGAGAGTTCATGTCTGTAGATTTCATCCTTGTTTCTTATTTGAACTGTTTATGTCTAAACCCAAAGTATTTAGTTTTAACTACATCCTTTTGCATTTGTTTTATTCTGAATACATTGTGGGAACTGATATTTGTCCTCAGACTGCAGACATTTGTTAGCCACTTTGAGAAGATGCCCTCCCAACAGCAGCTTCTGGTCCTGAAGGATTTCATCCTCCGTTTCCTTCTGAACGCTCACTCAGGCACGCACTCTTTAATAAATCTGCATTGATAAGTTTGAGTTATGTTTACATTAAGATGCACATCTTTGAGTTTTTACAAACATTTCTGCTTCTTCCTGATCTGCAACAGGTCCAGGATGTTTGTCCTCCTTCAACAACAGCGCACAGTGGCTGACCGACAACTTCGGTCCATTCTCTGAGTTAGTGGCCGTCAGCGAGCTGATCCGTCTCAACCCTCTCTTCAAACCAGTGAGGATCAGACTGTCAAAAGCAAATCAGTGCTTTAAAAAAAAAATAAGGCCAAGTAACTTTTTTTTGTTCTAGCTCGAGGTCTTACAGCTCCTCACAGCAGATCAGAGAGTGGAGCTGCTGGGACTGACGCTTCCTGAAAACACAGACACTGTCATCAACGCTCTCTTTAATTACATGACCGAAGCACCAGAGGAAAGAAGATTCACACAGTTCCTGTCGTCTCTCGTCATCTTTTCCAAGACAGTAAGAAAAGTCTTTTTTGATTCAGGACTTTTCGTTTTAAGGTCATAGCTCATTTGTCCTCTTCTTGTTTTTATCCAACAGTTGAATCTTTCCTGCTCGTCCTACAAAACACTGTGAGTTCAGATCAAACCTGCAATATATACGATTAAAGTTGTAGCCAGAAATGCTAAATGAGAGTCAAGTTTTGGTAGTTTCTAGACAACATGCTCATCTTAGGAAAGATAATCATGATTATGTCGCAGCATAGAGTCAAAAAGGTCAGCAGCGTTTGTTTTCTTTTCAATGAGTGTCATAAGCTGCGTTTTCATTACAAAAGTGAGTAAAACTTTGTTGAAATTGTGTCAAAAACACAATTTCACAATTGTTTTTTTTTCACATTAAATAAGAAATGCAATTAAAATCACATGTGAATAAGTTTGTTTACACAATAAATCATTCTTGCCTCACAGATTCACCAGACTGGACGACGCCATGGCATCAGCTACTTCTGATGTAACTTCAGCCATCACACACACAAAAGTGGCTTTATTCAAACAGCTACCATCTGGTGAGACTTATATATATATAAAAAAGAGAAATATTTTTAGGATACAAATTGTGTTATTTGTATCATTTCTACTTTCATTTGATTTAATATTTTCCAAACTGTTACACTTTTAATTTCTATTTTGTGTAAAGACTGTGGCAATACGTCTTTACCATGTTATACACAAAAAGACATTCAATATACAAAATGCAGCTTAGTGATTATAGATTGAAGAATTAATTTGATGAGTGTGTATTTGTGTCAAAAGAAATAATTTTTCTTTTGTTTAATAATTAACTCATTTGATTTTTTGTGTGCTTTTATCACAGGTTGCATCATATACAGTGGGCAGGTAAAGATATGTTATGAATTTTTTTCTATTTTTCAAACAAATATTTTTTGAAGATTTATAACCATTTTAATCATTTTCTCTACATAGTGCAATGTAACGATGGCAAATGGTAAGTTTCCTCTCTGCATAATGATCCTCTATTTACTCTTATTTAAAATTATGTATTATTTTCACTTTAACACATTATCTTGTCTTGCATCATTTCACAGAGACAGACATATGCATGGGAGTCAACAGGTAGGGTTGAGAAAGACTTTGTGATATTTCTCCCTTTTCATGTTAAATCAAGGAAACATAAATTATTTTGTGTTACAGCACAGAGCTTCAGATCCACCTGGACAGATCAATGATGACCGGACGTCACTGCAGCTTCTCTGTGGAGGAATTTGCCTGTGCCTCTGTAAGACGTCGCATCATCATCTGTCCTCAAATTGCAGCTGAGAAAAAATAGTTCCATGTTTGGTTCAACATCTGGTCTGTTGTCATTCTCGTCTCCAGCTGTCAGGTTTAACAGCTGGGGATCTGGCAGCCATGTTGGGTTGCGATAGGGTCTCCGACTCAAGCGGCTCCAAACTTGCCTGGAACCTGCTGCTCTCCAAAGCCTCCAAGGTCCTGGATCAAGCTCTGGATCTGCTGAGCAACACCGTAAGACTGGCTTTTGGTTCCAACCAGCGGTGCTCCGGTCGCAGTTTTCAGGCTCATCACCAATATTTAAAGACCTGTCCGGCTGATTCTGATTTTTTGCCCAATTCTTGTTTTTTTTCTGAAAGATGCTAAATGTAGTGATGATGTAGTGAAGTTATTAATGGTGGATTTACTATTGTCCTTTACAAATCTTTCCCACCAGTTATATGGGAAAAAAATATTTATGTGGGATGACCATTTATTTTAATAAAAAGTGCAATAACCCGGACGGACATTTTAAACTCAAATTCGACCAAATCTTTTGTCTAAAGTCATCATTCAGTCTATTTTTATCTCCAATGTAGAACTTTCATTTAGCTAAAAATTTAGCGTAGATCATTTGTTGTTGCAGACGCTCCGCCCCGACCATCATTCTGCCTCCATGATCCTGACTCCATTAGAGAACTCCGGCTGCATGGCGTCAACATGGCCGTCCTCAACGATCCCGCCTTCGTCCAGATGTGGTTCGGCCGCCGCCTTCGTCCTTTCCTGCCAGCTGTTTCCGACGACTTCCTCTCATGTCTCTCCTCCAACTCACTGAACTGCAGCACCTTCCAGTTCATGTGAGAATGAACTCATTTATCCTTTTTAATCAAGTTAAAAATGTATTTGCATCTCTTTTACAATCTGTGATGATAAAATATCTTTTCCATTTTCAGTGTGAAGACATTTAGCCACGTTCAGTCACTCATGTTGCGTGAAAGGCAGCGGTCTGTCTCCACACGTTTCATCACAGCTTTCCTGTCAACAAACAACACTGCAGGTAGGAACCTGCAAAGACACTGATCCATACCATGCATGTTGACATATTCATAAACATCTTATGTAGATCTGAACGATAAACAAGTAAAGGATATTTGGGAAACATTAAGTGTCTTCACTTGAATAATGATTGTCTGTTGTTTCCAAGACAACAAATCTTCCTCATCCTTCAAATCAATTTCACCTGTTAACTGCATGTCAGCTGTTTTATTTCCCCAAGCTTTGCATTGTTTAGCTCATTATTTTGTGGTTAGCAATTTGTAAAACTGTCTTTCAATGTTAAACACACAAACATTAGGATTTAATTAAATTTGAAATATTGTGAATAGTATTCAAAGAAATCAATACTTTTAATTGTTCATAGTGCAAAACAAACAAATCTCCAATTTTTTTTACCTTTTGCAGGTCCAGGATGTTTGTCCTCCTTCAACAACAGCGCACAGTGGCTGACTGACAACTTCGGTCCATTCTCTGAGTTAGTGGCCGTCAGCGAGCTGATCCGTCTCAACCCTCTCTTCAAACCAGTGAGGATCAGACTGTCAAAAGCAAATCAGTGCTTTAAAAAAAATAAGGCTAAATAACTTTTTTTTTGTTCTAGGTCGAGGTCTTACAGCTCCTCACAGCAGATCAGAGAGTGGAGCTGCTGGGACTGACGCTTCCTGAAAACACAGACACTGTCATCAACGCTCTCTTTAATTACATGACCGAAGCACCAGAGGAAAGAAGATTCACACAGTTCCTGTCGTCTCTCGTCTTGTTTTCCAAGACAGTAAGAAAAGTCTTTTTTTATTCAGGACTTTCCGTTTTAAGGTCATAGCTCATTTGTCCTCTTCTTGTTTTTATCCAACAGTTGAATCTTTCCTGCTCGTCCTACAAAACACTGTGAGTTCAGATCAAACCTGCAATATATACGATTAAAGTTGTAGCCAGAAATGCTAAATGAGAGTGAAGTTTTGGTAGTTTCTAGACAACATGCTCATCTTAGGAAATATAATCATGATTATGTCGCAGCATAGAGTCAAAAAGGTCAGCAGCGTTTGTTTTCTTTTCAATGAGTGTCATAAGCTGCGTTTTCATTACAAAAGTGAGTAAAAGTTGTTGAAATTGTATTTCACAATTGTTTTTCTATTAAATAAGAAATGCAATTAAAATCACATGTTAAATAAGTTTGTTTACACAATAAGTCATGATCCTCCATCTACTTCCTGCTGTCCTCTTGTTTGTGGATTCTGCCAGAAGGAGCAACCAGTTATTGATCAGCACTCGTGTGATGCAAAATAAGTGTTTCCACTGCAGTTTGTGAAATCCATCCATTTCAATACGATCATAGAACCATCGCAAACCAGAGCCTAATTTTTATCTAGAACAAGAGTTTTTTTATAATTATGTTTTTATTCAGAAAATCTATTATCAAAATGTCAAGTTTTGAACTTGACATTTTTTAACTCTACCAATGGAAATAATCAAGTTCCATTGGTCTTTTCCATTGACCAATGATATTGTCAATGGAAACGCAGCTACCACATGGACTGACCTCCCTGTGACAAAGAAGCCAACACAAAGCAAAAAAAAAAAGGTGGAATCCTTCTGTGAATACAGTCAGGAACAAAGACAAACATTTTTTTCAGACATTTCTTTTGGATGAAACATTGGATGTCGCAAGATTGAAATATTTGGATAAAGGAAAAAAACCTTGCAACTCTAAGTAGGTCATTCTAAATGAGGAGTATGGCGACGGCAGCAGATTAAATAGCATAAATAAGAAATTTGGAGATATTGAAACAACATTTAACGACATCAAATGGAGAGCAATGTTTTGGATCCAATGTCCCATACGCCGCAAGGAAAAACTATTGTATATATGTATCAAATTCTCAATTTAAATAAAGTAATGAAACTTTAAAATCATCTCTCTGATGTACATTGTTGTTTGCCTCACATCGATGAACAACCACAGAACGAGTTTAGTTTGATTCAATTGAAAATATTCTTGCCTCACAGATTCACCAGACTGGACGACGCCATGGCATCAGCTACTTCTGATGTAACTTCAGCCATCACACACAAAAGTGGCTTTATTCAAACAGCTACCATCTGGTGAGACTTTTATATATATATACATATATATAAAAGAGAAATATTTTTAGGATACAAATTGTGTTATTTGTATCATTTCTACTTTCATTTGATTTAATATTTCCAAACTGTTACACTTTTAATTTCTATCACGTGTAAAGACTGTGGCAATACGTCTTTACCATGTTAAACACAAAAAGACATTCAATATACAAAATGCAGCTTAGTGATTATAGATTGAAGAATTAATTTGATGAGTGTGTATTTGTGTCAAAAGAAATAATTTTTCTTTTGTTTAATAATTAACTCATTTGATTTTTTGTGTGCTTTTATCACAGGCTGCATCATATACAGTGGGCAGGTAAAGATATGTTATGAATTTTTTTTTATTTTCAAACAAATATTTTTTGAAGATTTATAACCATTTTAATCATTTTCTCTACATAGTGCAATGTAACGATGGCAAATGGTAAGTTTCCTCTCTGCATAATGATCCCCCTAAAATTATGTATTATTTTCACTTTAACACATTATCTTGTCTTGCATCATTTCACAGAGACAGACATATGCATGGGAGTCAACAGGTAGGGTTGAGAAAGACTTTGTGATATTTCTCCCTTTTCATGTTAAATCAAGGAAACATGAATCATTTTGTGTTACAGCACAGAGCTTCAGATCCACCTGGACAGATCAATGATGACCGGACGTCACTGCAGCTTCTCTGTGGAGGAATTTGCCTGTGCTTCTGTAAGACGTCGCATCATCATCTGTCCTCAAATTGCAGCTGAGAAAAAATAGTTCCATGTTTGGTTCAACATCTGGTCTGTTGTCATTCTCGTCTCCAGCTGTCAGGTTTAACAGCTGGGGATCTGGCAGCCATGTTGGGTTGCGATAGGGTCTCCGACTCAAGCGGCTCCAAACTTGCCTGGAACCTGCTGCTCTCCAAAGCCTCCAAGGTCCTGGATCAAGCTCTGGATCTGCTGAGCAACACCGTAAGACTGGCTTTTGGTTCCAACCGGCGGTGCTCCGGTCGCAGTTTTCAGGCTCATCACCAATATTTAAAGACCTGTCCGGCTGATTCTGATTTTTTGCCCAATTCTTGTTTTTTTTCTGAAAGATGCTAAATGTAGTGATGATGTAGTGAAGTTATTAATGGTGGATTTACTATTGTCCTTTACAAATCTTTCCCACAGTAATATGGGAAAAAAATATTTATGTGGGATGATCATTTATTTTAATAAAAAGTGCAATAACCCGGACGGACATTTTAAACTCACCTTCGACCAAATCTTTGTCTAAAGTCATCATTCAGTCTATTTTTATCTCCAATGTAGAACTTTCATTTAGCTAAAAATTTATTGTGGATCATTTGTTGTTGCAGACGCTCCGCCCCGACCATCATTCTGCCTCCATGATCCTGGACTCCATTAGAGAACTCCGGCTGCATGGCATCAACATGGCCGTCCTCAACGATCCCGCCTTCGTCCAGATGTGGTTCGGCCGCCGCCTTCGTCCGTTCCTGCCAGCTGTTTCCGACGACTTCCTCATGTCTCTCCTCCAACTCACTGAACTGCAGCACCTTCCAGTCCATGTGAGAATGAACTCATTTATCCTTTTTAATCAAGTTAAAAATGTATTTGCATCTCTTTTACAATCTGTGATGATAAAATATCTTTTCCATTTTCAGTGTGAAGACATTTAGCCACGTTCAGTCACTCATGTTGCGTGAAAGGCAGCGGTCTGTCTCCACACGCTTCATCACAGCTTTCCTGTCAACAAACAACACTGCAGGTAGGAACCTGCAAAGACACTGATCCATACCATGCCATGCATGTTGACATATTCATAAACATCTTATGTAGATCTGAACGATAAACAAGTAAAGGAGTTTTCTGAATCACCATTAACCCGTCACTTCTATCATGATTGTCTAGTGTTTCTACGACAACATCCTTCAAATCAATCTCATCTGTTTAGTTGTTTTTCTTAATTTATTCATCCAAACATTTTGTCTTGTAGCTCTTTATTTGTGCTCGTTAATGTTTTCATTACTTTCCATGTTAGACATTAAAACACAAACTTTTGGATATTATTCTTTCAAAATAGTAAATGCTCAAAGCCATGAACACTTTTTCTTGTTTTTCGTGCAAAACAAACAAATCTCCAATTTTTTTACCTTTTGCAGGTCCAGGATGTTTGTCCTCCTTCAACAACAGCGCACAGTGGCTGACCGACAACTTTGGTCCATTCTCTGAGTTAGTGGCCGTCAGCGAGCTGATCCGTCTCAACCCTCTCTTCAAACCAGTGAGGATCAGACTGTCAAAAGCAAATCAGTGCTTTAAAAAAAACAGAAGGCCAAATAACTTTTTTTTGTTCTAGGTCGAGGTCTTACAGCTCCTCACAGCAGATCAGAGAGTGGAGCTGCTGGGACTGACGCTTCCTGAAAACACAGACACTGTCATCAACGCTCTCTTTAATTACATGACCGAAGCACCAGAGGAAAGGAGATTCACACAGTTCCTGTCGTCTCTCGTCATATTCGCTAAGATGGTTAGAAAAGTCTGTTATGATTAAGGGTTTTTGAGGATTTTGTGTTTAAAGTAGTAACTCATTTTTCCTTTTCTTCCTTTTGTCCAACAGGAAAGCCTTTCTTGTTCATCCTACAAAACACTGTGAGTTCAGATCAAACCTGCAATATAGAAATATGAACAGGTGAAGAGAGAAGATTGGAGGACAAAGAGCCACGTGTTTTGAAGCATCATGTGGATGAAACCACATGATGCAAACAATGTTTGGGTGTAACGACACTTGTTTTATTTAGACAAATGAAGAAAAGCTTTCATGCCTAAGAACGCAATGTTTAATGCGTAGCATGGCAGTAGCAGCATCAAAATAAATGATCAGAAAATAATGATGTATAAACAACATCCAAGATTTAAGGCAATTCTACCAAAACACTGAGGACATGTAGCATGTTTGTTTTAAATTCATCTTCTCTCTGATTATTGTTATTTTTTTATACAAATATAGATGACTTTGGTGATTCTTGCAGACCACAGAATGAGTTTAGTTTGACTAAATTTAAAACATTTTTGACGTGCAGATTCACCAGACTGGACATCGCCATGGCAACCACTTCTCCTGACATAGTTTCAGTCGTCACAAACACTAAAGTGGCTTTGTCCAAACAACTACCACTTGGTGAGTTTTACAAAAAAGAAGAAGCATTTATTAATACAAAAACTGTTATGTTAAATCTCCTCTCAATATTTTCTTCTTTAATTTTATTTTCTTTATATATCATTTTCACAAACTAACATCAATGATGACTTTAGTTGCGCTGAGATAATTTTCTTGTATTTCAATATAAAATTAAATACGAAGAGATAATATTCAATATGCAACTTTTATGATTGTTGGTTCTTGGAAAAAGTAATCAAGAAATTACTTTGTGATTTAAATGTGTGTCAAATGATTTGCTATTTCTTTAAAAATGGACAGTTTTTAAATAATCCACTTTTTGTGCTTTTATCACAGGCTGCATCATATACAGTGGGCAGGTAAAGCTATGTTATAAATTTCTTTTATTTTTCAAACAAAATCTTTTTGAAGATTTATAACCATTTTAATCATTTTCTCTACATAGTGCAATGTAACGATGGCAAATGGTAAGTTTTCTCTCTGCATAATGATGCTCTATTTACTCTTATTTAAAATTATGTATTATTTTTTCTTTAACATATTATCTTGTCTTGCATCATTTCACAGAGACAGACATATGCATGGGAGTCAACAGGTAGGGTTGAGAAAGACTTTGTGATATTTCTCCCTTTTCATGTTAAATCAAGGAAACATGAATCATTTTGTGTTACAGCACAGAGCTTCAGATCCACCTGGACAGATCAATGATGACCGGACAGCACTGCAGCTTCTCTGTGGAGGAATTTGCCTGTGCCTCTGTAAGACGTCGCATCATCATATGTCCTCAAACTGCAGCTGAGAAAAAATTGTTCCATGTTTGGTTCAACATCTGGTCTGTTGTCATTCTCCTCTCCAGCTGTCAGGTTTAACAGCTGGGGATCTGGCAGCCATGTTGGGTTGCGATAGGGTCTCCGACTCAAGCGGCTCCAAACCTGCCTGGAAGCTGCTGCTCTCCAAAGCCTCCAAGGTCCTGGATCAAGCTCTGGATCTGCTGAGCAACACCGTAAGACTGGCTTTTGGTTCCAACCAGCGGTGCTCCGGTCGCAGTTTTCAGACTCATCACTGACATTTAAAATATCTAAGTTGCTGATTCTGATTTTGGCCTAATACTTATTTTTTTTTTTTCTTTTACCTGAAAGTCAGTAATTATAGAGTCAAAAGACTCAGGTGTTACAATTCTAACTGTTTAAAACTTAAAACTGAATATCATGACATAAAATTTCCAAACATTTCTGACCTGTTGTATATCATGTATCCTATATAATTTAACAGAAAATCCAAACATCTTTTAGGTTTCAAAATGTATTATTGTTTTTAAAAGTACAATAACGTTGTTGAATTTTCACAGTAGTGCGTACACAATGAGTTTGTGGTCATTATTTTATGATGTGATTGAAAATAATTTTAAAAACAGGTGACGAGGAATCTTTGTTTTATTTTAGTTTATGCTGATTGTTTCATTCATCTAAAAATTTATTGTGGATCATTTGTTGTTGCAGACGCTCCGCCCCGACCATCATTCTGCCTCCATGATCCTGGACTCCATTAGAGAACTCCGGCTGCATGGCATCAACATGGCCGTCCTCAACGATCCCGCCTTCGTCCAGATGTGGTTCGGCCGCCGCCTTCGTCCGTTCCTGCCAGCTGTTTCCGACGACTTCCTCTCATGTCTCTCCTCCAACTCACTGAACTGCAGCACCTTCCAGTCCATGTAAGAATGAACTCATTTATCCTTTATAATCACGTTAGAAATATACCGTGGTGGGAGGTAACAAAGTACTAATACTTTGTTACTCTACTTAAGTACAATTTTTGTGTACTTATGTGGACCACAAACTCTCAGCCTACATTTAATAATGGATACTTTCAACTTTTACTCCACTACATTTTACATTTAACCCTTTTTAACTTTTCCTCAAGTAAAATGTTAATGTGGTACCTTTACTAGAGTACATTTTTGTCTGTGTATTTGTACTTTTACTTAAGTACACATTTTGAGTACCTTCTCCACCACTGAAAATACATTTGCATCTCTTTTACAATCTGTGATGATAAAATATCTTTTCCATTTTCAGTGTGAAGACATTTAGCCACGTTCAGTCACTCATGTTGCGTGAAAGGCAGCGGTCTGTCTCCACACGTTTCATCACAGCTTTCCTGTCAACAAACAACACTGCAGGTAGGAACCTGCAAAGACACTGATCCATACCATGCATGTTGACATATTCATAAACATCTTATGTAGATCTGAACGATAAACAAGTAAAGGATATTTGGGAAACATTAAGTGTCTTCACTTGAATAATGATTGTCTGTTGTTTCCAAGACAACAAATCTTCCTCATCCTTCAAATCAATTTCACCTGTTAACTGCATGTCAGCTGTTTTATTTCCCCAAGCTTTGCATTGTTTAGCTCATTATTTTGTGGTTAGCAATTTGTAAAACTGTCTTTCAATTAAACACACAAACATTATGATTTAATTAAATTTGAAATATTGTGAATAGTATTCAAAGAAATCAATACTTTTAATTGTTCATAGTGCAAAACAAACAAATCTCCAATTTTTTTACCTTTTGCAGGTCCAGGATGTTTGTCCTCCTTCAACAACAGCGCACAGTGGCTGACCGACAACTTCGGTCCATTCTCTGAGTTAGTGGCCGTCAGCGAGCTGATCCGTCTCAACCCTCTCTTCAAACCAGTGAGGATCAGACTGTCAAAAGCAAATCAGTGCTTTAAAAAAAATAAGGCTAAATAACTTTTTTTTTGTTCTAGCTTGAGGTCTTACAGCTCCTCACACCAGATCAGAGAGTGGAGCTGCTGGGACTGACGCTTCCTGAAAACACAGACACTGTCATCAACGCTCTCTTTAATTACATGACCGAAGCACCAGAGGAAAGGAGATTCACACAGTTCCTGTCATCTTTGGTCATGTTTTCCAAGATAGTAAGAAAAGTCTTTTTTGATTCAGGACTTTTCGTTTTAAGGTTATAGCTCATTTGTCCTCTTCTTGTTTTATCCAACAGTTGAATCTTTCCTGCTCGTCCTACAAAACACTGTGAGTTCAGATCAAACCTGCAATATATACGATTAAAGTTGTAGCCAGAAATGCTAAATGACAGTGAAGTTTTGGTAGTTTCTAGACAACATGCTCATCTTAGGAAAGATAATCATGATTATGTCGCAGCATAGAGTCAAAAAGGTGAGCAGCATTTGTTTCTTTTCAATGAGTGTCATAAGCTGCGTTTTCATTACAAAAGTGAGTAAAAGTTTGTTGAAATTGTATTTCACAATTGTTTTTTCTATTAAATAAGAAATGCAATTAAAATCACATGTTAATAAGTTTGTTTACACAATAAGTCATGATCCTCCATCTACTTCCTGCTGTCCTCTTGTTTGTGGATTCTGCCAGAAGGAGCAACCAGTTATTGATCAGCACTCGTGTGATGCAAAATAAGTGTTTCCACTGCAGTTTTGTGAAATCCATCCATTTCAATACGATCATAGAACCATCGCAAACCAGAGCCTAATTTTTATCTAGAACAAGAGTTTTTTTATAATTATGTTTTTATTCAGAAAATCTATTATCAAAATGTCAAGTTTTGAACTTGACATTTTTTAACTCTACCAATGGAAATAATCAAGTTCCATTGGTCTTTTCCATTGACCAATGATATTGTCAATGGAAACGCAGCTACCACGTGGACTGACCTCCCTGTGACAAAGAAGCCAACACAAAGCAAAAAAAAAAGGTGGAATCCTTCTGTGAATACAGTCAGGAACAAAGACAAACATTTTTTTCAGACATTTCTTTTGGATGAAACATTGGATGTCGCAAGATTGAAATATTTGGATAAAGGAAAAAAACCTTGCAACTCTAAGTAGGTCATTCTAAATGAGGAGTATGGCGACGGCAGCAGATTAAATAGCATAATAAGAAATTTGGAGATATTGAAACAACATTTAACGACATCAAATGGAGAGCAAATGTTTTGGATCCAATGTCCTACATACGCCGCAAGGAAACTATATATGTATCAAATTCTCAATTTAAATAAAGTAATGAAACTTTAAAATCATCTCTCTGATGTACATTGTTGTTTGCCTCACATCGATGAACAACCACAGAACGAGTTTAGTTTGATTCAATTGAAAATATTCTTGCCTCACAGATTCACCAGACTGGACGACGCCATGGCATCAGCTACTTCTGATGTAACTTCAGCCATCACACACACAAAAGTGGCTTTATTCAAACAGCTACCATCTGGTGAGACTTATATATATATATACATATATATATATAAAAAAGAGAAATATTTTTAGGATACAAATTGTGTTATTTGTATCATTTCTACTTTCATTTGATTTAATATTTTCCAAACTGTTACATTTTTAATTTCTATCACGTGTAAAGACTGTGGCAATACGTCTTTACCATGTTAAACACAAAAAGACATTTAATATTCAAAATGCAGCTTAGTGATTATAGATTGAAGAATTAATTTGATGAGTGTGTATTTGTGTCAAGAGAAATAATTTCTCTTTTGTTTAATAATTAACTCATTTGATTTTTTGTGTGTGCTTTTATCACAGGTTGCATCATATACAGTGGGCAGGTAAAGATATGTTATGAATTTTTTTTATTTTCAAACAAATATTTTTGAAGATTTATAACCATTTTAATCATTTTCTCTACATAGTGCAATGTAACGATGGCAAATGGTAAGTTTCCTCTCTGCATAATGATCCTCTATTTACTCTTATTTAAAATTATGTATTATTTTCACTTTAACACATTATCTTGTCTTGCATCATTTCACAGAGACAGACATATGCATGGGAGTCAACAGGTAGGGTTGAGAAAGACTTTGTGATATTTCTCCCTTTTCATGTTAAATCAAGGAAACATGAATCATTTTGTGTTACAGCACAAAGCTTCAGATCCACCTGGACAGATCAATGATGACCGGACGTCACTGCAGCTTCTCTGTGGAGGAATTTGCCTGTGCTTCTGTAAGACGTCGCATCATCATCTGTCCTCAAATTGCAGCTGAGAAAAAATAGTTCCATGTTTGGTTCAACATCTGGTCTGTTGTCATTCTCGTCTCCAGCTGTCAGGTTTAACAGCTGGGGATCTGGCAGCCATGTTGGGTTGCGATAGGGTCTCCGACTCAAGCGGCTCCAAACTTGCCTGGAACCTGCTGCTCTCCAAAGCCTCCAAGGTCCTGGATCAAGCTCTGGATCTGCTGAGCAACACCGTAAGACTGGCTTTGGTTCCAACCGGCGGTGCTCCGGTCGCAGTTTTCAGGCTCATCACCAATATTTAAAGACCTGTCCGGCTGATTCTGATTTTTTGCCCAATTCTTGTTTTTTTTCTGAAAGATGCTAAATGTAGTGATGATGTAGTGAAGTTATTAATGGTGGATTTACTATTGTCCTTTACAAATCTTTCCCACCAGTAATATGGAAAAAAATATTTATGTGGGATGATCATTTATTTTAATAAAAAGTGCAATAACCCGGACGGACATTTTAAACTCACCTTCGACCAAATCTTTGTCTAAAGTCATCATTCAGTCTATTTTATCTCCAATGTAGAACTTTCATTTAGCTAAAAATTTATTGTGGATCATTTGTTGTTGCAGACGCTCCGCCCCGACCATCATTCTGCCTCCATGATCCTGGACTCCATTAGAGAACTCCGGCTGCATGGCATCAACATGGCCGTCCTCAACGATCCCGCCTTCGTCCAGATGTGGTTCGGCCGCCGCCTTCGTCCGTTCCTGCCAGCTGTTTCCGACGACTTCCTCTCATGTCTCTCCTCCAACTCACTGAACTGCAGCACCTTCCAGTCCATGTGAGAATGAACTCATTTATCCTTTTTAATCAAGTTAAAAATGTATTTGCATCTCTTTTACAATCTGTGATGATAAAATATCTTTTCCATTTTCAGTGTGAAGACATTTAGCGACGTTCAGTCACTCATGTTGCGTGAAAGGCAGCGGTCTGTCTCCACACGCTTCATCACAGCTTTCCTGTCAACAAACAACACTGCAGGTAGGAACCTGCAAAGACACTGATCCATACCATGCCATGCATGTTGACATATTCATAAACATCTTATGTAGATCTGAACGATAAACAAGTAAAGGAGTTTTCTGAATCACCATTAACCCGTCACTTCTATCATGATTGTCTAGTGTTTCTACGACAACATCCTTCAAATCAATCTCATCTGTTTAGTTGTTTTTCTTAATTTATTCATCCAAACATTTTGTCTTGTAGCTCTTTATTTTGTGCTCGTTAATGTTTTCATTACTTTCCATGTTAGACATTAAAACACAAACTTTTGGATATTATTCTTTCAAAATGCTCAAAGCAATGAACACTTTTTCTTGTTTTTCGTGCAAAACAAACAAATCTCCAATTTTTTTACCTTTTGCAGGTCCAGGATGTTTGTCCTCCTTCAACAACAGCGCACAGTGGCTGACCGACAACTTTGGTCCATTCTCTGAGTTAGTGGCCGTCAGCGAGCTGATCCGTCTCAACCCTCTCTTCAAACCAGTGAGGATCAGACTGTCAAAAGCAAATCAGTGCTTTAAAAAAAACAGAAGGCCAAATAACTTTTTTTGTTCTAGGTCGAGGTCTTACAGCTCCTCACAGCAGATCAGAGAGTGGAGCTGCTGGGACTGACGCTTCCTGAAAACACAGACACTGTCATCAACGCTCTCTTTAATTACATGACCGAAGCACCAGAGGAAAGGAGATTCACACAGTTCCTGTCGTCTCTCGTCATATTCGCTAAGATGGTTAGAAAAGTCTGTTGTGATTAAGGGTTTTTGAGGATTTTGTGTTTAAAGTAGTAACTCATTTTTCCTTTTCTTCCTTTTGTCCAACAGGAAAGCCTTTCTTGTTCATCCTACAAAACACTGTGAGTTCAGATCAAACCTGCAATATAGAAATATGAACAGGTGAAGAGAGAAGATTGGAGGACAAAGAGCCACGTGTTTTGAAGCATCATGTGGATGAAACCACATGATGCAAACAATGTTTGGGTGTAACGACACTTGTTTTATTTAGACAAATGAAGAAAAGCTTTCATGCCTAAGAACGCAATGTTTAATGCGTAGCATGGCAGTAGCAGCATCAAAATAAATGATCAGAAAATAATGATGTATAAACAACATCCAAGATTTAAGGCAATTCTACCAAAACACTGAGGACATGTAGCATGTTTGTTTTAAATTCATCTTCTCTCTGATTATTGTTATTTTTTTATACAAACATAGATGACTTTGGTGATTCTTGCAGACCACAGAATGAGTTTAGTTTGACTAAATTTAAAACATTTTTGCCGTGCAGATTCACCAGACTGGACATCGCCATGGCAACCACTTCTCCTGACATAGTTTCAGTCGTCACAAACACTAAAGTGGCTTTGTCCAAACAACTACCACTTGGTGAGTTTTACAAAAAAGAAGAAGCATTTATTAATAAAAACTGTTGTTAAATCTCCTCTCAATATTTTCTTCTTTAATTTTATTTTCTTTATATATCATTTTCACAAACTAACAACAATGATGACTTTAGTTGCGCTGAGATAATTTTCTTGTATTTCAATATACAATTAAATACGAAGAGATAATATTCAATATGCAACTTTTATGATTGTTGGTTCTTGGAAAAAGTAATCAAGAAATTACTTTGTGATTTAAATGTGTGTCAAATGATTTGCTATTTCTTTAAAAATGGACAGTTTTTAAATAATCCACTTTTTGTGCTTTTATCACAGGCTGCATCATATACAGTGGGCAGGTAAAGATATGTTATAAATTTCTTTTATTTTTCAAACAAAATCTTTTTGAAGATTTATAACCATTTTAATCATTTTCTCTACATAGTGCAATGTAACGATGGCAAATGGTAAGTTTCCTCTCTGCATAATGATCCTCTATTTACTCTTATTTAAAATTATGTATTATTTTCACTTTAACACATTATCTTGTCTTGCATCATTTCACAGAGACAGACATATGCATGGGAGTCAACAGGTAGGGTTGAGAAAGACTTTGTGATATTTCTCCCTTTTTATGTTATATCAAGGAAACATGAATCATTTTGTGTTACAGCACAGAGCTTCAGATCCACCTGGACAGATCAATGATGACCGGACGGCACTGCAGCTTCTCTGTGGAGGAATTTGCCTGTGCCTCTGTAAGACGTCGCATCATCATCTGTCCTCAAATTGCAGCTGAGAAAAAATAGTTCCATGTTTGGTTCAACATCTGGTCTGTTGTCATTCTCCTCTCCAGCTGTCAGGTTTAACAGCTGGGGATCTGGCAGCCATGTTGGGTTGCGATAGGGTCTCCGACTCAAGCGGCTCCAAACCTGCCTGGAAGCTGCTGCTCTCCAAAGCCTCCAAGGTCCTGGATCAAGCTCTGGATCTGCTGAGCAACACCGTAAGACTGGCTTTTGGTTCCAACCAGCGGTGCTCCGGTCGCATTTTTCAGACTCATCACTGATATTTAAAATATCTAAGTTGCTGATTCTGATTTTGGCCTAATACTGATTTATTTATTTATTTTTTTACCTGAAAGTCGGTAATTATAGAGTCAAAAGACTCAGGTGTTACAATTCTAACTGTTTAAAACTTAAAACTGAATATCATGACATAAAATTTCCAAACATTTCTGACCTGTTGTATATCATGTATCCTATATAATTTAACAGAAAATCCAAACATCTCTTAGGTTTCAAAATGTATTATTGTTTTTAAACGTACAATAACGTTGTTGAATTTTCACAGTAGTGCGTACACAATGAGAGATTTTGGTCATTATTTTATGATGTGATTAAAAAAAATTTTAAAAAACAGATGACGAGGAATCTTTGTTTTATTTTAGTTTATGCTGATTGTTTCATTAATCTAAAAATGTATCGTGGATCATTTGTTGTTGCAGACGCTCCGCCCCGACCATCATTCTGCCTCCATGATCCTGGACTCCATTAGAGAACTCCGGCTGCATGGCATCAACATGGCCGTCCTCAACGATCCCGCCTTCGTCCAGATGTGGTTCGGCCGCCGCCTTCGTCCGTTCCTGCCAGCTGTTTCCGACGACTTCCTCTCATGTCTCTCCTCCAACTCACTGAACTGCAGCACCTTCCAGTCCATGTAAGAATGAACTCATTTATCCTTTATAATCACGTTAGAAATATACCGTGGTGGGAGGTAACAAAGTACTAATACTTTGTTACTCTACTTAAGTACAATTTTTGTGTACTTATGTGGACCACAAACTCTCAGCCTACATTTAATAATGGATACTTTCAACTTTTACTCCACTACATTTTACATTTAACCCTTTTTAACTTTTCCTCAAGTAAAATGTTAATGTGGTACCTTTACTAGAGTACATTTTTGTCTGTGTATTTGTACTTTTACTTAAGTACACATTTTGAGTACCTTCTCCACCACTGAAAATACATTTGCATCTCTTTTACAATCTGTGATGATAAAATATCTTTTCCATTTTCAGTGTGAAGACATTTAGCCACGTTCAGTCACTCATGTTGCGTGAAAGGCAGCGGTCTGTCTCCACACGCTTCATCACAGCTTTCCTGTCAACAAACAACACTGCAGGTAGGAACCTGCAAAGACACTGATCCATACCATGCATGTTGACATATTCATAAACATCTTATGTAGATCTGAACGATAAACAAGTAAAGGATATTTGGGAAACATTAAGTGTCTTCACTTGAATAATGATTGTCTGTTGTTTCCAAGACAACAAATCTTCCTCATCCTTCAAATCAATTTCACCTGTTAACTGCATGTCAGCTGTTTTATTTCCCCAAGCTTTGCATTGTTTAGCTCATTATTTTGTGGTTAGCAATTTGTAAAACTGTCTTTCAATGTTAAACACACAAACATTAGGATTTAATTAAATTTGAAATATTGTGAATAGTATTCAAAGAAATCAATACTTTTAATTGTTCATAGTGCAAAACAAACAAATCTCCAATTTTTTTACCTTTTGCAGGTCCAGGATGTTTGTCCTCCTTCAACAACAGCGCACAGTGGCTGACCGACAACTTCGGTCCATTCTCTGAGTTAGTGGCCGTCAGCGAGCTGATCCGTCTCAACCCTCTCTTCAAACCAGTGAGGATCAGACTGTCAAAAGCAAATCAGTGCTTTAAAAAAAACAGAAGGCCAAATAACTTTTTTTTTGTTCTAGCTCGAGGTCTTACAGCTCCTCACACCAGATCAGAGAGTGGAGCTGCTGGGACTGACGCTTCCTGAAAACACAGACACTGTCATCAACGCTCTCTTTAATTACATGACCGAAGCACCAGAGGAAAGGAGATTCACACAGTTCCTGTCATCTTTGGTCATGTTTTCCAAGATAGTAAGAAAAGTCTTTTTTGATTCAGGACTTTTCGTTTTAAGGTCATAGCTCATTTGTCCTCTTGTTTTTATCCAACAGTTGAATCTTTCCTGCTCGTCCTACAAAACACTGTGAGTTCAGATCAAACCTGCAATATATACGATTAAAGTTGTAGCCAGAAATGCTAAATGAGAGTGAAGTTTTGGTAGTTTCTAGACAACATGCTCATCTTAGGAAAGATAATCATGATTATGTCGCAGCATAGAGTCAAAAAGGTCAGCAGCATTTGTTTTCTTTTCAATGAGTGTCATAAGCTGCGTTTTCATTACAAAAGTGAGTAAAAGTTTGTTGAAATTGTATTTCACAATTTTTTTTTCTATTAAATAAGAAATGCAATTAAAATCACATGTTAATAAGTTTGTTTACACAATAAGTCATGATCCTCCATCTACTTCCTGCTGTCCTCTTGTTTGTGGATTCTGCCAGAAGGAGCAACCAGTTCTTGATGATGTTGCGTGTGATGCCATTTTGATCATTTTACCATCGCAAACAAACCTAAGCCAGAGCATCGCAAACCAGAGCCTAATTTTTATCTAGAACAAGAGTTTTTTTATAATTATGTTTTTATTCAGAAAATCTATTATCAAAATGTCAAGTTTTGAACTTGACATTTTTTAACTCTACCAATGGAAATAATCAAGTTCCATTGGTCTTTTCCATTGACCAATGATATTGTCAATGGAAACGCAGCTACCACGTGGACTGACCTCCCTGTGACAAAGAAGCCAACACAAAGCAAAAAAAAAAGGTGGAATCCTTCTGTGAATACAGTCAGGAACAAAGACAAACATTTTTTCAGACATTTCTTTTGGATGAAACATTGGATGTCGCAAGATTGAAATATTTGGATAAAGGAAAAAAACCTTGCAACTCTAAGTAGGTCATTCTAAATGAGGAGTATGGCGACGGCAGCAGATTAAATAGCATAATAAGAAATTTGGAGATATTGAAACAACATTTAACGACATCAAATGGAGAGCAAATGTTTTGGATCCAATGTCCTACATACGCCGCAAGGAAACTATTGTATATATGTATCAAATTCTCAATTTAAATAAAGTAATGAAACTTTAAAATCATCTCTCTGATGTACATTGTTGTTTGCCTCACATCGATGAACAACCACAGAACGAGTTTAGTTTGATTCAATTGAAAATATTCTTGCCTCACAGATTCACCAGACTGGACGACGCCATGGCATCAGCTACTTCTGATGTAACTTCAGCCATCACACACACAAAAGTGGCTTTATTCAAACAGCTACCATCTGGTGAGACTTTTATATATATATATAAAAGAGAAATATTTTTAGGATACAAATTGTGTTATTTGTATCATTTCTACTTTCATTTGATTTAATATTTTCCAAACTGTTACATTTTTAATTTCTATCACGTGTAAAGACTGTGGCAATACGTCTTTACCATGTTAAACACAAAAAGACATTCAATATACAAAATGCAGCTTAGTGATTATAGATTGAAGAATTAATTTGATGAGTGTGTATTTGTGTCAAAAGAAATAATTTTTCTTTTGTTTAATAATTAACTCATTTGATTTTTTTTTGTGTGCTTTTATCACAGGCTGCATCATATACAGTGGGCAGGTAAAGATATGTTATGAATTTTTTTTATTTTCAAACAAATATTTTTTGAAGATTTATAACCATTTTAATCATTTTCTCTACATAGTGCAATGTAACGATGGCAAATGGTAAGTTTCCTCTCTGCATAATGATCCTCTATTTACTCTTATTTAAAATTATGTATTATTTTCACTTTAACACATTATCTTGTCTTGCATCATTTCACAGAGACAGACATATGCATGGGAGTCAACAGGTAGGGTTGAGAAAGACTTTGTGATATTTCTCCCTTTTCATGTTAAATCAAGGAAACATGAATCATTTTGTGTTACAGCACAAAGCTTCAGATCCACCTGGACAGATCAATGATGACCGGACGTCACTGCAGCTTCTCTGTGGAGGAATTTGCCTGTGCTTCTGTAAGACGTCGCATCATCATCTGTCCTCAAATTGCAGCTGAGAAAAAATAGTTCCATGTTTGGTTCAACATCTGGTCTGTTGTCATTCTCGTCTCCAGCTGTCAGGTTTAACAGCTGGGGATCTGGCAGCCATGTTGGGTTGCGATAGGGTCTCCGACTCAAGCGGCTCCAAACTTGCCTGGAACCTGCTGCTCTCCAAAGCCTCCAAGGTCCTGGATCAAGCTCTGGATCTGCTGAGCAACACCGTAAGACTGGCTTTTGGTTCCATCCAGCGGTGCTCCGGTCGCAGTTTTCAGGCTCATCACCAATATTTAAAGACCTGTCCGGCTGATTCTGATTTTTTGCCCAATTCTTGTTTTTTTCTGAAAGATGCTAAATGTAGTGATGATGTAGTGAAGTTATTAATGGTGGATTTACTATTGTCCTTTACAAATCTTTCCCACCAGTAATATGGGAAAAAAATATTTATGTGGGATGATCATTTATTTTAATAAAAAGTGCAATAACCCGGACGGACATTTTAAACTCACCTTCGACCAAATCTTTGTCTAAAGTCATCATTCAGTCTATTTTTATCTCCAATGTAGAACTTTCATTTAGCTAAAAATTTATTGTGGATCATTTGTTGTTGCAGACGCTCCGCCCCGACCATCATTCTGCCTCCATGATCCTGGACTCCATTAGAGAACTCCGGCTGCATGGCATCAACATGGCCGTCCTCAACGATCCCGCCTTCGTCCAGATGTGGTTCGGCCGCCGCCTTCGTCCGTTCCTGCCAGCTGTTTCCGACGACTTCCTCTCATGTCTCTCCTCCAACTCACTGAACTGCAGCACCTTCCAGTCCATGTGAGAATGAACTCATTTATCCTTTTTAATCAAGTTAAAATGTATTTGCATCTCTTTTACAATCTGTGATGATAAAATATCTTTTCCATTTTCAGTGTGAAGACATTAGCGACGTTCAGTCACTCATGTTGCGTGAAAGGCAGCGGTCTGTCTCCACACGCTTCATCACAGCTTTCCTGTCAACAAACAACACTGCAGGTAGGAACCTGCAAAGACACTGATCCATACCATGCATGTTGACATATTCATAAACATCTTATGTAGATCTGAACGATAAACAAGTAAAGGAGTTTTCTGAATCACCATTAACCCGTCACTTCTATCATGATTGTCTAGTGTTTCTACGACAACATCCTTCAAATCAATCTCATCTGTTTAGTTGTTTTTCTTAATTTTTCATCCAAACATTTTGTCTTGTAGCTCTTTATTTTGTGCTCGTTAATGTTTTCATTACTTTCCATGTTAGACATTAAAACACAAACTTTTGGATATTATTTCTTTCAAAATGCTCAAAGCAATGAACACTTTTTCTTGTTTTTCGTGCAAAACAAACAAATCTCCAATTTTTTTACCTTTTGCAGGTCCAGGATGTTTGTCCTCCTTCAACAACAGCGCACAGTGGCTGACCGACAACTTTGGTCCATTCTCTGAGTTAGTGGCCGTCAGCGAGCTGATCCGTCTCAACCCTCTCTTCAAACCAGTGAGGATCAGACTGTCAAAAGCAAATCAGTGCTTTAAAAAAAACAGAAGGCCAAATAACTTTTTTTTGTTCTAGGTCGAGGTCTTACAGCTCCTCACAGCAGATCAGAGAGTGGAGCTGCTGGGACTGACGCTTCCTGAAAACACAGACACTGTCATCAACGCTCTCTTTAATTACATGACCGAAGCACCAGAGGAAAGGAGATTCACACAGTTCCTGTCGTCTCTCGTCATATTCGCTAAGATGGTTAGAAAAGTCTGTTGTGATTAAGGGTTTTTGAGGATTTTGTGTTTAAAGTAGTAACTCATTTTTCCTTTTCTTCCTTTTGTCCAACAGGAAAGCCTTTCTTGTTCATCCTACAAAACACTGTGAGTTCAGATCAAACCTGCAATATAGAAATATGAACAGGTGAAGAGAGAAGATTGGAGGACAAAGAGCCACGTGTTTTGAAGCATCATGTGGATGAAACCACATGATGCAAACAATGTTTGGGTGTAACGACACTTGTTTTATTTAGACAAATGAAGAAAAGCTTTCATGCCTAAGAACGCAATGTTTAATGCGTAGCATGGCAGTAGCAGCATCAAAATAAATGATCAGAAAATAATGATGTATAAACAACATCCAAGATTTAAGCCAATTCTACCAAAACACTGAGGACATGTAGCATGTTTGTTTTAAATTCATCTTCTCTCTGATTATTGTTATTTTTTTATACAAACATAGATGACTTTGGTGATTCTTGCAGACCACAGAATGAGTTTAGTTTGACTAAATTTAAAACATTTTTGACGTGCAGATTCACCAGACTGGACATCGCCATGGCAACCACTTCTCCTGACATAGTTTCAGTCGTCACAAACACTAAAGTGGCTTTGTCCAAACAACTACCACTTGGTGAGTTTTACAAAAAAGAAGAAGCATTTATTAATACAAAAACTGTTATGTTAAATCTCCTCTCAATATTTTCTTCTTTAATTTTATTTTCTTTATATATCATTTTCACAAACTAACAACAATGATGACTTTAGTTGCGCTGAGATAATTTTCTTGTATTTCAATATAAAGTTAAATACGAAGAGATAATATTCAATATGCAACTTTTATGATTGTTGGTTCTTGGAAAAAGTAATCAAGAAATTACTTTGTGATTTAAATGTGTGTCAAATGATTTGCTATTTCTTTAAAAATGGACAGTTTTTAAATAATCCACTTTTTGTGCTTTTATCACAGGCTGCATCATATACAGTGGGCAGGTAAAGATATGTTATAAATTTCTTTTATTTTCAAACAAAATCTTTTTGAAGATTTATAACCATTTTAATCATTTTCTCTACATAGTGCAATGTAACGATGGCAAATGGTAAGTTTTCTCTCTGCATAATGATGCTCTATTTACTCTTATTTAAAATTATGTATTATTTTTTCTTTAACATATTATCTTGTCTTGCATCATTTCACAGAGACAGACATATGCATGGGAGTCAACAGGTAGGGTTGAGAAAGACTTTGTGATATTTCTCCCTTTTCATGTTAAATCAAGGAAACATGAATCATTTTGTGTTACAGCACAGAGCTTCAGATCCACCTGGACAGATCAATGATGACCGGACGGCACTGCAGCTTCTCTGTGGAGGAATTTGCCTGTGCCTCTGTAAGACGTCGCATCATCATCTGTCCTCAAACTGCAGCTGAGAAAAAATAGTTCCATGTTTGGTTCAACATCTGGTCTGTTGTCATTCTCCTCTCCAGCTGTCAGGTTTAACAGCTGGGGATCTGGCAGCCATGTTGGGTTGCGATAGGGTCTCCGACTCAAGCGGCTCCAAACCTGCCTGGAAGCTGCTGCTCTCCAAAGCCTCCAAGGTCCTGGATCAAGCTCTGGATCTGCTGAGCAACACCGTAAGACTGGCTTTTGGTTCCAACCAGCGGTGCTCCGGTCGCAGTTTCAGACTCATCACTGATATTTAAAATATCTAAGTTGCTGATTCTGATTTTGGCCTAATACTGATTTATTTATTTATTTTTTTACCTGAAAGTCAGTAATTATAGAGTCAAAAGACTAAGGTGTTACAATTCTAACCGGTTAAAACTTGAAACTGAATATCATGACATAAAATATCCAAACATTTCTGACCTGCTGTATATCATGTATCCTATATAATTTAACAGAAAATCCAAACATCTCTTAGGTTTCAAAATGTATGTATTGTTTTAAAAGTACAATAACGTTGTTGAATTTTCACAGTAGTGCGTACACAATGAGAGTTTGTGGTCATTATTTTATGATGTGATTAAAAATAATTTTAAAAACAGGTGACGAGGAATCTTTGTTTTATTTTAGTTTATGCTGATTGTTTCATTCATCTAAAAATGTATCGTGGATCATTTGTTGTTGCAGACGCTCCGCCCCGACCATCATTCTGCCTCCATGATCCTGGACTCCATTAGAGAACTCCGGCTGCATGGCATCAACATGGCCGTCCTCAACGATCCCGCCTTCGTCCAGATGTGGTTCGGCCGCCGCCTTCGTCCGTTCCTGCCAGCTGTTTCCGACGACTTCCTCTCATGTCTCTCCTCCAACTCACTGAACTGCAGCACCTTCCAGTCCATGTAAGAATGAACTCATTTATCCTTTATAATCACGTTAGAAATATACCGTGGTGGGAGGTAACAAAGTACTAATACTTTGTTACTCTACTTAAGTACAATTTTTGTGTACTTATGTGGACCACAAACTCTCAGCCTACATTTAATAATGGATACTTTCAACTTTTACTCCACTACATTTTACATTTAACCCTTTTTAACTTTTCCTCAAGTAAAATGTTAATGTGGTACCTTTACTAGAGTACATTTTTGTCTGTGTATTTGTACTTTTACTTAAGTACACATTTTGAGTACCTTCTCCACCACTGAAAATACATTTGCATCTCTTTTACAATCTGTGATGATAAAATATCTTTTCCATTTTCAGTGTGAAGACATTTAGCCACGTTCAGTCACTCATGTTGCGTGAAAGGCAGCGGTCTGTCTCCACACGCTTCATCACAGCTTTCCTGTCAACAAACAACACTGCAGGTAGGAACCTGCAAAGACACTGATCCATACCATGCATGTGACATATTCATAAACATCTTATGTAGATCTGAACGATAAACAAGTAAAGGATATTTGGGAAACATTAAGTGTCTTCACTTGAATAATGATTGTCTGTTGTTTCCAAGACAACAAATCTTCCTCATCCTTCAAATCAATTTCACCTGTTAAACTGCATGTCAGCTGTTTTATTTCCCCAAGCTTTGCATGTTTAGCTCATTATTTTGTGGTTAGCAATTTGTAAAACTGTCTTTCAATGTTAAACACACAAACATTCGGATTTAATTAAATTTGAAATATTGTGAATAGTATTCAAAGAAATCAATACTTTTAATTGTTCATAGTGCAAAACAAACAAATCTCCAATTTTTTTACCTTTTGCAGGTCCAGGATGTTTGTCCTCCTTCAACAACAGCGCACAGTGGCTGACCGACAACTTCGGTCCATTCTCTGAGTTAGTGGCCGTCAGCGAGCTGATCCGTCTCCCTCTCTTCAAACCAGTGAGGATCAGACTGTCAAAAGCAAATCAGTGCTTTAAAAAAAACAGAAGGCCAAATAACTTTTTTTTTGTTCTAGCTTGAGGTCTTACAGCTCCTCACACCAGATCAGAGAGTGGAGCTGCTGGGACTGACGCTTCCTGAAAACACAGACACTGTCATCAACGCTCTCTTTAATTACATGACCGAAGCACCAGAGGAAAGGAGATTCACACAGTTCCTGTCATCTTTGGTCATGTTTTCCAAGATAGTAAGAAAAGTCTTTTTTGATTCAGGACTTTTCGTTTAAGGTCATAGCTCATTTGTCCTCTTCTTGTTTTTATCCAACAGTTGAATCTTTCCTGCTCGTCCTACAAAACACTGTGAGTTCAGATCAAACCTGCAATATATACGATTAAAGTTGTAGCCAGAAATGCTAAATGACAGTGAAGTTTTGGTAGTTTCTAGACAACATGCTCATCTTAGGAAAGATAATCATGATTATGTTGCAGCATAGAGTCAAAAAGGTCAGCAGCATTTGTTTTCTTTTCAATGAGTGTCATAAGCTGCGTTTTAATTACAAAAGTGAGTAAAAGTTTGTTGAAATTGTATTTCACAATTGTTTTTTCTATTAAATAAGAAATGCAATTAAAATCACGTTAATAAGTTTGTTTACACAATAAGTCATGATCCTCCATCTACTTCCTGCTGTCCTCTTGTTTGTGGATTCTGCCAGAAGGAGCAACCAGTTATTGATCAGCACTCGTGTGATGCAAAATAAGTGTTTCCACTGCAGTTTTGTGAAATCCATCCATTTCAATACGATCATAGAACCATCGCAAACCAGAGCCTAATTTTTATCTAGAACAAGAGTTTTTTTATAATTATGTTTTTATTCAGAAAATCTATTATCAAAATGTCAAGTTTTGAACTTGACATTTTTTAACTCTACCAATGGAAATAATCAAGTTCCATTGGTCTTTTCCATTGACCAATGATATTGTCAATGGAAACGCAGCTACCACGTGGACTGACTCCCTGTGACAAAGAAGCCAACACAAAGCAAAAAAAAAAAGGTGGAATCCTTCTGTGAATACAGTCAGGAACAAAGACAAACATTTTTTTCAGACATTTCTTTTGGATGAAACATTGGATGTCGCAAGATTGAAATATTTGGATAAAGGAAAAAAACCTTGCAACTCTAAGTAGGTCATTCTAAATGAGGAGTATGGCGACGGCAGCAGATTAAATAGCATAATAAGAAATTTGGAGATATTGAAACAACATTTAACGACATCAAATGGAGAGCAAATGTTTTGGATCCAATGTCCTACATACGCCGCAAGGAAACTATTGTATATATGTATCAAATTCTCAATTTAAATAAAGTAATGAAACTTTAAAATCATCTCTCTGATGTACATTGTTGTTTGCCTCACATCGATGAACAACCACAGAACGAGTTTAGTTTGATTCAATTGAAAATATTCTTGCCTCACAGATTCACCAGACTGGACGACGCCATGGCATCAGCTACTTCTGATGTAACTTCAGCCATCACACACACAAAAGTGGCTTTATTCAAGCAGCTACCATCTGGTGAGACTTATATATATATAAAAAAGAGAAATATTTTTAGGATACAAATTGTGTTATTTGTATCATTTCTACTTTCATTTGATTTAATATTTTCCAAACTGTTACATTTTTAATTTCTATCACGTGTGAAGACTGTGGCAATACGTCTTTACCATGTTAAACACAAAAAGACATTCAATATACAAAATGCAGCTTAGTGATTATAGATTGAAGAATTAATTTGATGAGTGTGTATTTGTGTCAAAAGAAATAATTTCTCTTTTGTTTAATAATTAACTCATTTGATTTTTTTTGTGTGCTTTTATCACAGGCTGCATCATATACAGTGGGCAGGTAAAGATATGTTATGAATTTTTTTTTATTTTCAAACAAAATCTTTTTGAAGATTTATAACCATTTTAATCATTTTCTCTACATAGTGCAATGTAACGATGGCAAATGGTAAGTTTCCTCTCTGCATAATGATCCTCTATTTACTCTTATTTAAAATTATGTATTATTTTCACTTTAACACATTATCTTGTCTTGCATCATTTCACAGAGACAGACATATGCATGGGAGTCAACAGGTAGGGTTGAGAAAGACTTTGTGATATTTCTCCCTTTTCATGTTAAATCAAGGAAACATGAATCATTTTGTGTTACAGCACAGAGCTTCAGATCCACCTGGACAGATCAATGATGACCGGACGGCACTGCAACTTCTCTGTGGAGGAATTTGCCTGTGCCTCTGTAAGACGTCGCATCATCATCTGTCCTCAAACTGCAGCTGAGGGAAAATAGTTCCATGTTTGGTTCAACATCTGGTCTGTTGTCATTCTCGTCTCCAGCTGTCAGGTTTAACAGCTGGGGATCTGGCAGCCATGTTGGGTTGCGATAGGGTCTCCGACTCAAGCGGCTCCAAACTTGCCTGGAACCTGCTGCTCTCCAAAGCCTCCAAGGTCCTGGATCAAGCTCTGGATCTGCTGAGCAACACCGTAAGACTGGCTTTTGGTTCCATCCAGCGGTGCTCCGGTCGCAGTTTTCAGGCTCATCACCAATATTTAAAGACCTGTCCGGCTGATTCTGATTTTTTGCCCAATTCTTGTTTTTTTTCTGAAAGATGCTAAATGTAGTGACGATGTAGTGAAGTTATTAATGGTGGATTTACTATTGTCCTTTACAAACCTTTCCCACCAGTAATATGGGAAAAAAATATTTATGTGGGATGATCATTTATTTTAATAAAAAGTGCAATAACCCGGACGGACATTTTAAACTCACCTTCGACCAAATCTTTGTCTAAAGTCATCATTCAGTCTATTTTTATCTCCAATGTAGAACTTTCATTTAGCTAAAAATTTATTGTGGATCATTTGTTGTTGCAGACGCTCCGCCCCGACCATCATTCTGCCTCCATGATCCTGGACTCCATTAGAGAACTCCGGCTGCATGGCATCAACATGGCCGTCCTCAACGATCCCGCCTTCGTCCAGATGTGGTTCGGCCGCCGCCTTCGTCCGTTCCTGCCAGCTGTTTCCGACGACTTCCTCTCATGTCTCTCCTCCAACTCACTGAACTGCAGCACCTTCCAGTCCATGTGAGAATGAACTCATTTATCCTTTATAATCACGTTAGAAATGTATTTGCATCTCTTTTACAATCTGTGATGATAAAATATCTTTTCCATTTTCAGTGTGAAGACATTTAGCGACGTTCAGTCACTCATGTTGCGTGAAAGGCAGCGGTCTGTCTCCACACGCTTCATCACAGCTTTCCTGTCAACAAACAACACTGCAGGTAGGAACCTGCAAAGACACTGATCCATACCATGCATGTTGACATATTCATAAACATCTTATGTAGATCTGAACGATAAACAAGTAAAGGATATTTGGGAAACATTAAGTGTCTTCACTTGAATAATGATTGTCTGTTGTTTCCAAGACAACAAATCTTCCTCATCCTTCAAATCAATTTCACCTGTTAACTGCATGTCAGCTGTTTTATTTCCCCAAGCTTTGCATTGTTTAGCTCATTATTTGTGGTTAGCAATTTGTAAAACTGTCTTTCAATGTTAAACACACAAACATTAGGATTCAATTAAATTTGAAATATTGTGAATAGTATTCAAAGAAATCAATACTTTTAATTGTTCATAGTGCAAAACAAACAAATATCCAATTTTTTTACCTTTTGCAGGTCCAGGATGTTTGTCCTCCTTCAACAACAGCGCACAGTGGCTGACCGACAACTTCGGTCCATTCTCTGAGTTAGTGGCCGTCAGCGAGCTGATCCGTCTCAACCCTCTCTTCAAACCAGTGAGGATCAGACTGTCAAAAGCAAATCAGTGCTTTAAAAAAAACAGAAGGCCAAATAACTTTTTTTTTGTTCTAGCTCGAGGTCTTACAGCTCCTCACACCAGATCAGAGAGTGGAGCTGCTGGGACTGACGCTTCCTGAAAACACAGACACTGTCATCAACGCTCTCTTTAATTACATGACCGAAGCACCAGAGGAAAGGAGATTCACACAGTTCCTGTCATCTTTGGTCATGTTTTCCAAGATAGTAAGAAAAGTCTTTTTTGATTCAGGACTTTTCGTTTTAAGGTCATAGCTCATTTGTCCTCTTCTTGTTTTTATCCAACAGTTGAATCTTTCCTGCTCGTCCTACAAAACACTGTGAGTTCAGATCAAACCTGCAATATATACGATTAAAGTTGTAGCCAGAAATGCTAAATGAGAGTGAAGTTTTGGTAGTTTCTAGACAACATGCTCATCTTAGGAAAGATAATCATGATTATGTCGCAGCATAGAGTCAAAAAGGTCAGCAGCATTTGTTTTCTTTTCAATGAGTGTCATAAGCTGCGTTTTAATTACAAAAGTGAGTAAAAGTTTGTTGAAATTGTATTTCACAATTATTTTTTCTATTAAATAAGAAATGCAATTAAAATCACATGTTAATAAGTTTGTTTACACAATAAGTCATGATCCTCCATCTACTTCCTGCTGTCCTCTTGTTTGTGGATTCTGCCAGAAGGAGCAACCAGTTATTGATCAGCACTCGTGTGATGCAAAATAAGTGTTTCCACTGCAGTTTTGTGAAATCCATCCATTTCAATACGATCATAGAACCATCGCAAACCAGAGCCTAATTTTTATCTAGAACAAGAGTTTTTTTATAATTATGTTTTTATTCAGAAAATCTATTATCAAAATGTCAAGTTTTGAACTTGACATTTTTTAACTCTACCAATGGAAATAATCAAGTTCCATTGGTCTTTTCCATTGACCAATGATATTGTCAATGGAAACGCAGCTACCACGTGGACTGACCTCCCTGTGACAAAGAAGCCAACACAAAGCAAAAAAAAAAGGTGGAATCCTTCTGTGAATACAGTCAGGAACAAAGACAAACATTTTTTTCAGACATTTCTTTTGGATGAAACATTGGATGTCGCAAGATTGAAATATTTGGATAAAGGAAAAAAACCTTGCAACTCTAAGTAGGTCATTCTAAATGAGGAGTATGGCGACGGCAGCAGATTAAATAGCATAATAAGAAATTTGGAGATATTGAAACAACATTTAACGACATCAAATGGAGAGCAAATGTTTTGGATCCAATGTCCTACATACGCCGCAAGGAAACTATTGTATATATGTATCAAATTCTCAATTTAAATAAAGTAATGAAACTTTAAAATCATCTCTCTGATGTACATTGTTGTTTGCCTCACATCGATGAACAACCACAGAACGAGTTTAGTTTGATTCAATTGAAAATATTCTTGCCTCACAGATTCACCAGACTGGACGACGCCATGGCATCAGCTACTTCTGATGTAACTTCAGCCATCACACACACAAAAGTGGCTTTATTCAAACAGCTACCATCTGGTGAGACTTTTATATATATATATAAAAGAGAAATATTTTTAGGATACAAATTGTGTTATTTGTATCATTTCTACTTTCATTTGATTTAATATTTTCCAAACTGTTACATTTTTAATTTCTATCACGTGTAAAGACTGTGGCAATACGTCTTTACCATGTTAAACACAAAAAGACATTCAATATACAAAATGCAGCTTAGTGATTATAGATTGAAGAATTAATTTGATGAGTGTGTATTTGTGTCAAAAGAAATAATTTCTCATTTGTTCAATAATTAACTCATTTGATTTTTTTGTGTGCTTTTATCACAGGCTGCATCATATACAGTGGGCAGGTAAAGATATGTTATGAATTTTTTTTTATTTTCAAACAAATATTTTTTGAAGATTTATAACCATTTTAATCATTTTCTCTACATAGTGCAATGTAACGATGGCAAATGGTAAGTTTCCTCTCTGCATAATGATCCTCTATTTACTCTTATTTAAAATTATGTATTATTTTCACTTTAACACATTATCTTGTCTTGCATCATTTCACAGAGACAGACATATGCATGGGAGTCAACAGGTAGGGTTGAGAAAGACTTTGTGATATTTCTCCCTTTTCATGTTAAATCAAGGAAACATGAATCATTTTGTGTTACAGCACAAAGCTTCAGATCCACCTGGACAGATCAATGATGACCGGACGTCACTGCAGCTTCTCTGTGGAGGAATTTGCCTGTGCTTCTGTAAGACGTCGCATCATCATCTGTCCTCAAATTGCAGCTGAGAAAAAATAGTTCCATGTTTGGTTCAACATCTGGTCTGTTGTCATTCTCGTCTCCAGCTGTCAGGTTTAACAGCTGGGGATCTGGCAGCCATGTTGGGTTGCGATAGGGTCTCCGACTCAAGCGGCTCCAAACTTGCCTGGAACCTGCTGCTCTCCAAAGCCTCCAAGGTCCTGGATCAAGCTCTGGATCTGCTGAGCAACACCGTAAGACTGGCTTTTGGTTCCAACCAGCGGTGCTCCGGTCGCAGTTTTCAGGCTCATCACCAATATTTAAAGACCTGTCCGGCTGATTCTGATTTTTTGCCCAATTCTTGTTTTTTTTCTGAAAGATGCTAAATGTAGTGATGATGTAGTGAAGTTATTAATGGTGGATTTACTATTGTCCTTTACAAACCTTTCCCACCAGTAATATGGGAAAAAAATATTTATGTGGGATGATCATTTATTTTAATAAAAAGTGCAATAACCCGGACGGACATTTTAAACTCACCTTCGACCAAATCTTTGTCTAAAGTCATCATTCAGTCTATTTTTATCTCCAATGTAGAACTTTCATTTAGCTAAAAATTTATTGTGGATCATTTGTTGTTGCAGACGCTCCGCCCCGACCATCATTCTGCCTCCATGATCCTGGACTCCATAAGAGAACTCCGGCTGCATGGCATCAACATGGCCGTCCTCAACGATCCCGCCTTCGTCCAGATGTGGTTCGGCCGCCGCCTTCGTCCGTTCCTGCCAGCTGTTTCCGACGACTTCCTCTCATGTCTCTCCTCCAACTCACTGAACTGCAGCACCTTCCAGTCCATGTGAGAATGAACTCATTTATCCTTTTTAATCAAGTTAAAAATGTATTTGCATCTCTTTTACAATCTGTGATGATAAAATATCTTTTCCATTTTCAGTGTGAAGACATTTAGCGACGTTCAGTCACTCATGTTGCGTGAAAGGCAGCGGTCTGTCTCCACACGCTTCATCACAGCTTTCCTGTCAACAAACAACACTGCAGGTAGGAACCTGCAAAGACACTGATCCATACCATGCATGTTGACATATTCATAAACATCTTATGTAGATCTGAACGATAAACAAGTAAAGGAGTTTTCTGAATCACCATTAACCCGTCACTTCTATCATGATTGTCTAGTGTTTCTACGACAACATCCTTCAAATCAATCTCATCTGTTTAGTTGTTTTTCTTAATTTATTCATCCAAACATTTTGTCTTGTAGCTCTTTATTTTGTGCTCGTTAATGTTTTCATTACTTTCCATGTTAGACATTAAAACACAAACTTTTGGATATTATTTCTTTCAAAATGCTCAAAGCAATGAACACTTTTTCTTGTTTTTCGTGCAAAACAAACAAATCTCCAATTTTTTTACCTTTTGCAGGTCCAGGATGTTTGTCCTCCTTCAACAACAGCGCACAGTGGCTGACCGACAACTTTGGTCCATTCTCTGAGTTAGTGGCCGTCAGCGAGCTGATCCGTCTCAACCCTCTCTTCAAACCAGTGAGGATCAGACTGTCAAAAGCAAATCAGTGCTTTAAAAAAAACAGAAGGCCAAATAACTTTTTTTGTTCTAGGTCGAGGTCTTACAGCTCCTCACAGCAGATCAGAGAGTGGAGCTGCTGGGACTGACGCTTCCTGAAAACACAGACACTGTCATCAACGCTCTCTTTAATTACATGACCGAAGCACCAGAGGAAAGGAGATTCACACAGTTCCTGTCGTCTCTCGTCATATTCGCTAAGATGGTTAGAAAAGTCTGTTGTGATTAAGGGTTTTTGAGGATTTTGTGTTTAAAGTAGTAACTCATTTTTCCTTTTCTTCCTTTTGTCCAACAGGAAAGCCTTTCTTGTTCATCCTACAAAACACTGTGAGTTCAGATCAAACCTGCAATATAGAAATATGAACAGGTGAAGAGAGAAGATTGGAGGACAAAGAGCCACGTGTTTTGAAGCATCATGTGGATGAAACCACATGATGCAAACAATGTTTGGGTGTAACGACACTTGTTTTATTTAGACAAATGAAGAAAAGTTTTCATGCCTAAGAACGCAATGTTTAATGCGTAGCATGGCAGTAGCAGCATCAAAATAAATGATCAGAAAATAATGATGTATAAACAACATCCAAGATTTAAGGCAATTCTACCAAAACACTGAGGACATGTAGCATGTTTGTTTTAAATTCATCTTCTCTCTGATTATTGTTATTTTTTTATACAAACATAGATGACTTTGGTGATTCTTGCAGACCACAGAATGAGTTTAGTTTGACTAAATTTAAAACATTTTTGACGTGCAGATTCACCAGACTGGACATCGCCATGGCAACCACTTCTCCTGACATAGTTTCAGTCGTCACAAACACTAAAGTGGCTTTGTCCAAACAACTACCACTTGGTGAGTTTTACAAAAAAGAAGAAGCATTTATTAATACAAAAACTGTTATGTTAAATCTCCTCTCAATATTTTCTTCTTTAATTTTATTTTCTTTATATATCATTTTCACAAACTAACAACAATGATGACTTTAGTTGCGCTGAGATAATTTTCTTGTATTTCAATATACAATTAAATACGAAGAGATAATATTCAATATGCAACTTTTATGATTGTTGGTTTTTGAAAAAGTAATCAAGAAATTACTTTGTGATTTAAATGTGTGTCAAATGATTTGCTATTTCTTTAAAAATTGACAGTTTTTAAATAATCCACTTTTTGTGCTTTTATCACAGGCTGCATCATATACAGTGGGCAGGTAAAGCTATGTTATAAATTTCTTTTATTTTTCAAACAAAATCTTTTGAAGATTTATAACCATTTTAATCATTTTCTCTACATAGTGCAATGTAACGATGGCAAATGGTAAGTTTTCTCTCTGCATAATGATGCTCTATTTACTCTTATTTAAAATTATGTATTATTTTTTCTTTAACATATTATCTTGTCTTGCATCATTTCACAGAGACAGACATATGCATGGGAGTCAACAGGTAGGGTTGAGAAAGACTTTGTGATATTTCTCCCTTTTCATGTTAAATCAAGGAAACATGAATCATTTTGTGTTACAGCACAGAGCTTCAGATCCACCTGGACAGATCAATGATGACCGGACGGCACTGCAGCTTCTCTGTGGAGGAATTTGCCTGTGCCTCTGTAAGACGTCGCATCATCATCTGTCCTCAAATTGCAGCTGAGAAAAAATAGTTCCATGTTTGGTTCAACATCTGGTCTGTTGTCATTCTCCTCTCCAGCTGTCAGGTTTAACAGCTGGGGATCTGGCAGCCATGTTGGGTTGCGATAGGGTCTCCGACTCAAGCGGCTCCAAACCTGCCTGGAAGCTGCTGCTCTCCAAAGCCTCCAAGGTCCTGGATCAAGCTCTGGATCTGCTGAGCAACACCGTAAGACTGGCTTTTGGTTCCAACCAGCGGTGCTCCGGTCGCATTTTTCAGACTCATCACTGACATTTAAAATATCTAAGTTGCTGATTCTGATTTTGGCCTAATACTGATTTATTTATTTATTTTTTACCTGAAAGTCGGTAATTATAGAGTCAAAAGACTCAGGTGTTACAATTCTAACTGGTTAAAACTTGAAACTGAATATCATGACATAAAATATCCAAACATTTCTGACCTGTTGTATATCATGTATCCTATATAATTTAACAGAAAATCCAAACATCTTTTAGGTTTCAAAATGTATTATTGTTTTTAAAAGTACAATAACGTTGTTGAATTTTCACAGTAGTGCGTACACAATGAGAGTTTGTGGTCATTATTTTATGATGTGATTAAAAATAATTTTAAAAACAGGTGACGAGGAATCTTTGTTTTATTTTAGTTTATGCTGATTGTTTCATTCATCTAAAAATGTATCGTGGATCATTTGTTGTTGCAGACGCTCCGCCCCGACCATCATTCTGCCTCCATGATCCTGGACTCCATTAGAGAACTCCGGCTGCATGGCATCAACATGGCCGTCCTCAACGATCCCGCCTTCGTCCAGATGTGGTTCGGCCGCCGCCTTCGTCCGTTCCTGCCAGCTGTTTCCGACGACTTCCTCTCATGTCTCTCCTCCAACTCACTGAACTGCAGCACCTTCCAGTCCATGTAAGAATGAACTCATTTATCCTTTATAATCACGTTAGAAATATACCGTGGTGGGAGGTAACAAAGTACTAATACTTTGTTACTCTACTTAAGTACAATTTTTGTGTACTTATGTGGACCACAAACTCTCAGCCTACATTTAATAATGGATACTTTCAACTTTTACTCCACTACATTTTACATTTAACCCTTTTTAACTTTTCCTCAAGTAAAATGTTAATGTGGTACCTTTACTAGAGTACATTTTTGTCTGTGTATTTGTACTTTTACTTAAGTACACATTTTGAGTACCTTCTCCACCACTGAAAATACATTTGCATCTCTTTTACAATCTGTGATGATAAAATATCTTTTCCATTTTCAGTGTGAAGACATTTAGCCACGTTCAGTCACTCATGTTGCGTGAAAGGCAGCGGTCTGTCTCCACACGCTTCATCACAGCTTTCCTGTCAACAAACAACACTGCAGGTAGGAACCTGCAAAGACACTGATCCATACCATGCATGTTGACATATTCATAAACATCTTATGTAGATCTGAACGATAAACAAGTAAAGGATATTTGGGAAACATTAAGTGTCTTCACTTGAATAATGATTGTCTGTTGTTTCCAAGACAACAAATCTTCCTCATCCTTCAAATCAATTTCACCTGTTAACTGCATGTCAGCTGTTTTATTTCCCCAAGCTTTGCATTGTTTAGCTCATTATTTTGTGGTTAGCAATTTGTAAAACTGTCTTTCAATGTTAAACACACAAACATTAGGATTTAATTAAATTTGAAATATTGTGAATAGTATTCAAAGAAATCAATACTTTTAATTGTTCATAGTGCAAAACAAACAAATCTCCAATTTTTTTACCTTTTGCAGGTCCAGGATGTTTGTCCTCCTTCAACAACAGCGCACAGTGGCTGACCGACAACTTCGGTCCATTCTCTGAGTTAGTGGCCGTCAGCGAGCTGATCCGTCTCAACCCTCTCTTCAAACCAGTGAGGATCAGACTGTCAAAAGCAAATCAGTGCTTTAAAAAAAACAGAAGGCCAAATAACTTTTTTTTTGTTCTAGCTTGAGGTCTTACAGCTCCTCACACCAGATCAGAGAGTGGAGCTGCTGGGACTGACGCTTCCTGAAAACACAGACACTGTCATCAACGCTCTCTTTAATTACATGACCGAAGCACCAGAGGAAAGGAGATTCACACAGTTCCTGTCATCTTTGGTCATGTTTTCCAAGATAGTAAGAAAAGTTTTTTGATTCAGGACTTTTCGTTTTAAGGTCATAGCTCATTTGTCCTCTTCTTGTTTTTATCCAACAGTTGAATCTTTCCTGCTCGTCCTACAAAACACTGTGAGTTCAGATCAAACCTGCAATATATACGATTAAAGTTGTAGCCAGAAATGCCAAATCAGAGTGAAGTGCTCGCAGTTTCGAGGAGACATGCTTATCTTGGGAAAGTTAAGCATGATTATGTCGCAGTATAGAGTAAAAAAGGTCAGCAGCGTTTGTTTTCTTTTCAATGAGTGTCATAAGCTGCGTTTTAATTACAAAAGTGAGTAAAAGTTTGTTGAAATTGTATTTCACAATTTTTTTTTCTATTAAATAAGAAATGCAATTAAAATCACATGTTAATAAGTTTGTTTACACAATAAGTCATGATCCTCCATCTACTTCCTGCTGTCCTCTTGTTTGTGGATTCTGCCAGAAGGAGCAACCAGTTATTGATCAGCACTCGTGTGATGCAAAATAAGTGTTTCCACTGCAGTTTTGTGAAATCCATCCATTTCAATACGATCATAGAACCATCGCAAACCAGAGCCTAATTTTTATCTAGAACAAGAGTTTTTTTATAATTATGTTTTTATTCAGAAAATCTATTATCAAAATGTCAAGTTTTGAACTTGACATTTTTTAACTCTACCAATGGAAATAATCAAGTTCCATTGGTCTTTTCCATTGACCAATGATATTGTCAATGGAAACGCAGCTACCACATGGACTGACCTCCCTGTGACAAAGAAGCCAACACAAAGCAAAAAAAAAAAAGGTGGAATCCTTCTGTGAATACAGTCAGGAACAAAGACAAACATTTTTTTCAGACATTTCTTTTGGATGAAACATTGGATGTCGCAAGATTGAAATATTTGGATAAAGGAAAAAAACCTTGCAACTCTAAGTAGGTCATTCTAAATGAGGAGTATGGCGACGGCAGCAGATTAAATAGCATAATAAGAAATTTGGAGATATTGAAACAACATTTAACGACATCAAATGGAGAGCAAATGTTTTGGATCCAATGTCCTACATACGCCGCAAGGAAACTATTGTATATATGTATCAAATTCTCAATTTAAATAAAGTAATGAAACTTTAAAATCATCTCTCTGATGTACATTGTTGTTTGCCTCACATCGATGAACAACCACAGAACGAGTTTAGTTTGATTCAATTGAAAATATTCTTGCCTCACAGATTCACCAGACTGGACGACGCCATGGCATCAGCTACTTCTGATGTAACTTCAGCCATCACACACACAAAAGTGGCTTTATTCAAGCAGCTACCATCTGGTGAGACTTATATATATATATATAAAAAAGAGAAATATTTTTAGGATACAAATTGTGTTATTTGTATCATTTCTACTTTCATTTGATTTAATATTTTCCAAACTGTTACACTTTTAATTTCTATCACGTGTGAAGACTGTGGCAATACGTCTTTACCATGTTAAACACAAAAAGACATTCAATATACAAAATGCAGCTTAGTGATTATAGATTGAAGAATTAATTTGATGAGTGTGTATTTGTGTCAAAGGAAATAATTTCTCTTTTGTTTAATAATTAACTCATTTGATTTTTTTGTGTGCTTTTATCACAGGCTGCATCATATACAGTGGGCAGGTAAAGATATGTTATGAATTTTTTTTTATTTTCAAACAAAATCTTTTTGAAGATTTATAACCATTTTAATCATTTTCTCTACATAGTGCAATGTAACGATGGCAAATGGTAAGTTTCCTCTCTGCATAATGATCCTCTATTTACTCTTATTTAAAATTATGTATTATTTTCACTTTAACACATTATCTTGTCTTGCATCATTTCACAGAGACAGACATATGCATGGGAGTCAACAGGTAGGGTTGAGAAAGACTTTGTGATATTTCTCCCTTTTCATGTTAAATCAAGGAAACATGAATCATTTTGTGTTACAGCACAGAGCTTCAGATCCACCTGGACAGATCAATGATGACCGGACGGCACTGCAACTTCTCTGTGGAGGAATTTGCCTGTGCCTCTGTAAGACGTCGCATCATCATCTGTCCTCAAACTGCAGCTGAGGGAAAATAGTTCCATGTTTGGTTCAACATCTGGTCTGTTGTCATTCTCGTCTCCAGCTGTCAGGTTTAACAGCTGGGGATCTGGCAGCCATGTTGGGTTGCGATAGGGTCTCCGACTCAAGCGGCTCCAAACTTGCCTGGAACCTGCTGCTCTCCAAAGCCTCCAAGGTCCTGGATCAAGCTCTGGATCTGCTGAGCAACACCGTAAGACTGGCTTTTGGTTCCATCCAGCGGTGCTCCGGTCGCAGTTTTCAGGCTCATCACCAATATTTAAAGACCTGTCCGGCTGATTCTGATTTTTGCCCAATTCTTGTTTTTTTTCTGAAAGATGCTAAATGTAGTGACGATGTAGTGAAGTTATTAATGGTGGATTTACTATTGTCCTTTACAAACCTTTCCCACCAGTAATATGGGAAAAAAATATTTATGTGGGATGATCATTTATTTTAATAAAAAGTGCAATAACCCGGACGGACATTTTAAACTCACCTTCGACCAAATCTTTGTCTAAAGTCATCATTCAGTCTATTTTTATCTCCAACGTAGAACTTTCATTTAGCTAAAAATTTATTGTGGATCATTTGTTGTTGCAGACGCTCCGCCCCGACCATCATTCTGCCTCCATGATCCTGGACTCCATTAGAGAACTCCGGCTGCATGGCATCAACATGGCCGTCCTCAACGATCCCGCCTTCGTCCAGATGTGGTTCGGCCGCCGCCTTCGTCCGTTCCTGCCAGCTGTTTCCGACGACTTCCTCTCATGTCTCTCCTCCAACTCACTGAACTGCAGCACCTTCCAGTCCATGTGAGAATGAACTCATTTATCCTTTATAATCACGTTAGAAATGTATTTGCATCTCTTTTACAATCTGTGATGATAAAATATCTTTTCCATTTTCAGTGTGAAGACATTTAGCGACGTTCAGTCACTCATGTTGCGTGAAAGGCAGCGGTCTGTCTCCACACGCTTCATCACAGCTTTCCTGTCAACAAACAACACTGCAGGTAGGAACCTGCAAAGACACTGATCCATACCATGCCATGCATGTTGACATATTCATAAACATCTTATGTAGATCTGAACGATAAACAAGTAAAGGAGTTTTCTGAATCACCATTAACCCGTCACTTCTATCATGATTGTCTAGTGTTTCTACGACAACATCCTTCAAATCAATCTCATCTGTTTAGTTGTTTTTCTTAATTTATTCATCCAAACATTTTGTCTTGTAGCTCTTTATTTTGTGCTCGTTAATGTTTTCATTACTTTCCATGTTAGACATTAAAACACAAACTTTTGGATATTATTTCTTTCAAAATAGTAAATGCTCAAAGCCATGAACACTTTTTCTTGTTTTTCGTGCAAAACAAACAAATCTCCAATTTTTTTACCTTTTGCAGGTCCAGGATGTTTGTCCTCCTTCAACAACAGCGCACAGTGGCTGACCGACAACTTCGGTCCATTCTCTGAGTTAGTGGCCGTCAGCGAGCTGATCCGTCTCAACCCTCTCTTCAAACCAGTGAGGATCAGACTGTCAAAAGCAAATCAGTGCTTTAAAAAAACAGAAGGCCAAATAACTTTTTTTTTTGTTCTAGGTCGAGGTCTTACAGCTCCTCACACCAGATCAGAGAGTGGAGCTGCTGGGACTGACGCTTCCTGAAAACACAGACACTGTCATCAACGCTCTCTTTAATTACATGACCGAAGCACCAGAGGAAAGGAGATTCACACAGTTCCTGTCGTCTCTCGTCATATTCGCTAAGATGGTTAGAAAAGTCTGTTATGATTAAGGGTTTTTGAGGATTTTGTGTTTAAAGTAGTAACTCATTTTTCCTTTTCTTCCTTTTGTCCAACAGGAAAGCCTTTCTTGTTCATCCTACAAAACACTGTGAGTTCAGATCAAACCTGCAATATAGAAATATGAACAGGTGAAGAGAGAAGATTGGAGGACAAAGAGCCACGTGTTTTGAAGCATCATGTGGATGAAACCACATGATGCAAACAATGTTTGGGTGTAACGACACTTGTTTTATTTAGACAAATGAAGAAAAGCTTTCATGCCTAAGAACGCAATGTTTAATGCGTAGCATGGCAGTAGCAGCATCAAAATAAATGATCAGAAAATAATAATGTATAAACAACATCCAAGAACATCAAATAGCAGATTTAAGGCAATTCTACCAAAACACTGAGGACATGTAGCATGTTTGTTTTAAATTCATCTTCTCTCTGATTATTGTTATTTTTTTATACAAACATAGATGACTTTGGTGATTCTTGCAGACCACAGAATGAGTTTATTTTGACTAAATTTAAAACATTTTTGCCGTGCAGATTCACCAGACTGGACATCGCCATGGCAACCACTTCTCCTGACATAGTTTCAGTCGTCACAAACACTAAAGTGGCTTTGTCCAAACAACTACCACTTGGTGAGTTTTACAAAAAAGAAGAAGCATTTATTAATACAAAAACTGTTATGTTAAATCTCCTCTCAATATTTCTTCTTTAATTTTATTTTCTTTATATATCATTTTCACAAACTAACAACAATGATGACTTTAGTTGCGCTGAGATAATTTTCTTGTATTTCAATATAAAGTTAAATACGAAGAGATAATATTCAATATGCAACTTTTATGATTGTTGGTTCTTGGAAAAAGTAATCAAGAAATTACTTTGTGATTTAAATGTGTGTCAAATGATTTGCTATTTCTTTAAAAAATTGACAGTTTTTAAATAATCCACTTTTTGTGCTTTTATCACAGGCTGCATCATATACAGTGGGCAGGTAAAGCTATGTTATAAATTTCTTTTATTTTTCAAACAAAATCTTTTTGAAGATTTATAACCATTTTAATCATTTTCTCTACATAGTGCAATGTAACGATGGCAAATGGTAAGTTTTCTCTCTGCATAATGATGCTCTATTTACTCTTATTTAAAATTATGTATTATTTTCGCTTTAACACATTATCTTGTCTTGCATCATTTCACAGAGACAGACATATGCATGGGAGTCAACAGGTAGGGTTGAGAAAGACTTTGTGATATTTCTCCCTTTTCATGTTAAATCAAGGAAACATGAATCATTTTGTGTTACAGCACAAAGCTTCAGATCCACCTGGACAGATCAATGATGACCGGACGTCACTGCAGCTTCTCTGTGGAGGAATTTGCCTGTGCCTCTGTAAGACGTCGCATCATCATCTGTCCTCAAACTGCAGCTGAGAAAAAATAGTTCCATGTTTGGTTCAACATCTGGTCTGTTGTCATTCTCCTCTCCAGCTGTCAGGTTTAACAGCTGGGGATCTGGCAGCCATGTTGGGTTGCGATAGGGTCTCCGACTCAAGCGGCTCCAAACCTGCCTGGAAGCTGCTGCTCTCCAAAGCCTCCAAGGTCCTGGATCAAGCTCTGGATCTGCTGAGCAACACCGTAAGACTGGCTTTTGGTTCCAACCAGCGGTGCTCCGGTCGCAGTTTTCAGACTCATCACTGACATTTAAAATATCTAAGTTGCTGATTCTGATTTTGCCTAATACTGATTTTTTTTTTTTTTTTTTTACCTGAAAGTCGGTAATTATAGAGTCAAAAGACTCAGGTGTTACAATTCTAACTACTTAAAACTTAAAACTGAATATCATGACATAAAATGTCCAAACATTTCTGACCTGTTGTATATCATGTATCCTATATAATTTAACAGAAAATCCAAACATCTTTTAGGTTTCAAAATGTATTATTGTTTTTAAAAGTACAATAACGTTGTTGAATTTTCACAGTAGTGCGTACACAATGAGAGTTTGTGGTCATTATTTTATGATGTGATTTTAAAAAATTTTTAAAAACAGGTGACGAGGAATCTTTGTTTTATTTTAGTTTATGCTGATTGTTTCATTCATCTAAAAATTTATCGTGGATCATTTGTTGTTGCAGACGCTCCGCCCCGACCATCATTCTGCCTCCATGATCCTGGACTCCATAAGAGAACTCCGGCTGCATGGCATCAACATGGCCGTCCTCAACGATCCCGCCTTCGTCCAGATGTGGTTCGGCCGCCGCCTTCGTCCGTTCCTGCCAGCTGTTTCCGACGACTTCCTTTCATGTCTCTCCTCCAACTCACTGAACTGCAGCACCTTCCAGTCCATGTAAGAATGAACTCATTTATCCTTTATAATCACGTTAGAAATATACCGTGGTTGGAGGTAACAAAGTACTAATACTTTGTTACTCTACTTAAGTACAATTTTTGTGTACTTATGTAGACCACAAACTCTCAGCCTACATTTAATAATGGATACTTTCAACTTTTACTCCACTACATTTTACATTTAACCCTTTTTAACTTTTCCTCAAGTAAAATGTTAATGTGGTACCTTTACTAGAGTACATTTTTGTCTGTGTATTTGTACTTTTACTTAAGTACACATTTTGAGTACCTTCTCCACCACTGAAAATATATTTACATCTCTTTTACAATCTGTGATGATAAAATATCTTTTCCATTTTCAGTGTGAAGACATTTAGCGACGTTCAGTCACTCATGTTGCGTGAAAGGCAGCGGTCTGTCTCCACACGCTTCATCACAGCTTTCCTGTCAACAAACAACACTGCAGGTAGGAACCTGCAAACACACTGATCCATACCATACCATGCATGTGTGCATGGTAAGCATGAAATGAAGGAGTTCCTGCAAAACTAAACCGGGAAACATCTGAATATAATTACATTAAAGTGACCAAAACATCCAACTGAGAAATTTTGGTCTTAGAGAAATGGTTTGAATTATTTTCTGAAAGATAGCCCTATTTAGTATTGTCTTGGGACAGAACATGTATCTACCTTTTTAATATTTTGAGGGACAAAATTATGAAATTGTTTAGAAATGAATATAAACAAAATAAAAACAAATATTTAACAAAGCCCAACACCCAATTGATCTAAAAAAACGTAAAGACGAAGACCAGTTTTCTAGTCCACTTAAGTAATTACGGTGTAAAATATACGCTTCTGATTATCTATTTTGTTTCAAATAAAATCAATAAGATGATGATTTTCATGTTCGTGAAATCATTTGTTGTCAACTTTGTGAAACTTGTACTTTTCCCCAAGCCAAGTCCCAACAAATCTACCATTCTGCAAGTTGACACCGAAAACCATGTGAACATCTTTCTTGTCTTATGTGATGAAATACAAAAGTATATAGAAGTAGTCGGCATCTCCTCAGGAGGGTAACGAGTCGCTTAGCATGTGTGTTTGTTTTGCTCAGATCCGGCCTGCAGCTCCAACACAGTCAGCAGCAGCGACTGGCTGCAGAAGAACCTGGGAGGCTTTTCTGTTTTCATCTCCGTCCAGGAGCTTCAGAAGCTCTACCCCAACTTTTCACCAGTAAGTTCTGTCGCATGGCTTCTTTTCATGTTATTTCAGGGCTTTTTAATGTCTGTGTTTACGTCAAAACTCGGGCGTTACTGTAAACATGGATGAATTTGAATGTGTGCAGATGGAAGCCCTGGCCTCTCTGTCTGTCGGACAGCTGGCCGCCTTATCCACCAGACCTGGGCTGCTCACGACTCCTGACCAGGTTGCCACGGTGATGAAATACGTCCCAGACCAAACGTTGGCCGTCTTCTTCGATGAGTTCTCAGTTGCCATTAGGGTACGTAAAACATCTTACCTTAACCAAAGTGTTGGCTGGCGTAATTTAATCCGTATTAAAAATGTTAATTTGTAGATAGTCTGATTTTGTTGTTGTTTTTCCTGCAGGGGAATGAACACACGCTGCCCTCCGCAGTGAGGTCTGCCATGCTGGAGGTTGTGTTCGTACGTGCGAACCTGTCCCATCCCTCAGTGCAGGACTCAGTGGTATCTGAGTGGCTCAGTAATCGACTGCCTCCCCTGGTCATGAGCCTGATCCCCTCCCAAGTCAACTCATATTTCCAGATACTGGTGGGAAGAAACTGCAGCATTGAGCAGCAGGGGTACGTAGAAAGCCAGCAAGCACTAGACTCAAGATATGCATATACTATATACTGCTTTACAAGCAGAATTTTTGAAGTTTTATCACATGACACGCTGCATTTTTAAACTGCAATTATCACATTTTTTTTTCTAAATTTTATTTTTATTTATTTTTAACAACACATGTCCACAGTTGCATTCTTCTGTCTCTTACTGACATATATCTTCTGCATTATAACTTGACAAAACAAGATGATTATCACATTTTTAAATCCATTTAAGTCATTGTTCTGGCTCTGAAAGGTAAAGAAATTTGGCTAAGAAGGTGGAAAGATTCTGTTCTCCATTTCTTTGGTCTGAATTTCTCGTTATTGTAAATTTGTAAACAAGTAAATTTTGTTTTACTTGTCTATTTTAGTGTAAGGCTTCTTAATTCAACAATCCCAACACTCACTGCGGATTCCCAGAAAGAAATCTACAACCACATTGTTCTGGCACTGAAAGGTAAAAAAACTGCTTGTCAAAACTCTAGAATGTAAACATCTTTGTTAAATCTTTACAGTAAGCTTGTTTCATATCTATAAAGTCAGAAGTATTTTGAGATCCAACTCAGACCGCAAACCGTTTAGCTGAGCGCTACATTGAGGCTGGTGGCGAACAGACGTAAATAGTCAGAGTGAACAAACTACAGCGAATCATTGAAAATCAGTGTATATAATGTTAGTGATATGTCTCCAAAAACAAAACCTAAAAATCACCTGTTTTGTTGATAGCCCCTCCAGCTCTCCGTTGCTACGCCCAGAGCAGCTTCTACAGCTTTGTCAAGGATTCGTTCTTGGGATTCCAGTTCCCCAACCTGACCACCTTCCTGTCCCTCATGCCTCCTGACCAAAAGCGTCTGGTGTGTTGAGATAAAAGCTTTTGAGTATTAGCAGAGCTAAGGACGACCAAATCAACTTTAATTATGTAACTTCTGGTCTTCCAGCTGGTGAACTCCATGCCTCCGTCACATCTGGGGAACCTGCTGCGTCGGCCAGGCGTCGTCGACAACGAAGCGCAGCTCTGTGGTCTCTACAGCAGCTATGTCCAGACACCAGTGTTTTTGGAAACTGTACGTAACACACCTGTTGGAATCTCATACACATCATCGGGATGATGTGTATGCAAACACAACAACCTGTTAATTCACTGCAGGAGTCCCTGCCGGTAGACGTCAGGCGTCCCACCCTGACCTGCGTTTGGCCCATGGCCCTCCGCAGCGCCAACAGGTCAGAGGTCAATGCTTGGTTTGACCGAAGCCTCCAGAACTACTTGGTCTTCCTCTCAAAGAGTCTGATCAGTCCAGATGTTACACACAACAGCTCGTGTCTGGCCTTCCAGAAACTGTATGTTTCCACGCAGCTTTTTTTTATTCTCTCTCTTTTTGAAGTTTATGTTTTTTGTTTCTGATTGAACCTTGTGTCGTTTCAGTGTCTCGGTTCTGGGTAAATACAACTACACGGCGGTGGATTTTGTGCGGGAAGACGTGTTCAACACCATCAGGGATTACCTCCAATCAGGTGAGTTCGAACGCAGCAACAAAGTAACATTAAATTTGGTAATTTTTCTTTTTTTTTTAATCATTTCACTTTTAAGTTGTCAATTTGTAATTCTGATACCTGCAAAGGGTCCATGTAGGGTAGATATGAGGTTTGCTGTAAAAGGTAACAAGTCTTCTGATAGTACAGCCAGGTTCCTATCAATATTAAGTTTTTATATCTATAGCTATGCTGTATCACCATGGATACTTGTTAAATGAAGAAAGTTTCCTCTGAAGATAAGCAAGTCCTCAGAAATGCCTTTTAGTCAAACCCAACCTGCAACTCTTGTAAATACCCTATAGACAAACTCAATTACCCTGCAAAAATATATTCCATAGGTATCTCCTGTAAATACCCTTAATGTGTATCAGAAACATTTATACCCAAAAAGTATCAATGTCTCTATAAACAGGTAACCTTTAAGAACCTTGTAAATACACACCAGTATCTGAAAACAACTCATAAGTTGGCGAATTACTCTTCATTTGTCATAAATATAAAACCTGGAACCTAAATATTTTTAACCTGTCACCATAGCAACACCAAGATGTTACGACCCCAACAACCCAGAGCTGAACTCCACGGCTTGGTTTGCTGAGTACATCGGCCCTTTCATGCCGTTCCTCACTCTTGAGATTCTTCGGACATTCGGATCAGAAGCGGTACTGAATCTGGAGTTTATCTCTAAAATGAGAAATAATAAGAGACAGAAATATTATATTGTCCCTGCTTTTATTGTTCCTGCTCTTTATAGATCCTCAAGGTGTTCACGGTGAACCCCCTGAACATTGCACTCCTCAACCACTCGGCTTTGCCTCAGAACCTCACCGACTACTACACTGGGCTGATCTACCAACAAGACAGTAACTTCAACCCCCTTCTGTGCGTTTATCACCAATTATCAAAATGTTGCAAAGGTGTTGCTTTTTTTTTGTCTTCATTGTGTTATTTTGATCAATTCTCTGCAGACTTCCTCTGTTGTGCCGGTGCGTCGCTCCTGGCATGGCATTCACCCAGCTGACTGCAGGAGAGAGTTTGATAATGTTGCAGAACCTCACCATTGTCTGCCAAAATCTTGATCCACAGGTAACAAGAACACAGAGGGAAATAACTTTGTTTCTCAGGATGCTTTTTATAGGCATACAGTCATCTTTTGACAAAAGCACCAGAGACGATGTAAAGAACTTAAAAACGTGAACAGTCAGTAGCTGCATTTCCGTTAAAACAATATGCAAAACTTTGTGGATCTTCCGCTTGCATTGGAATTGGCGTATTTCCATTAAAAAAGAAAATATGTATGTTCACACAAGTCACGCAATCTGCGCCATAATCTTCCTACCACATCCTGGCGACTGCTTCGTCTTTTTCTGCAGTAGAAACATCCGGTTGTTGTTTACGACTCGTGATTCGAAAAAAGTGTCTAAACCACATAGCGCAAAAATGTTCTATCAAAATTGTTTTCCAAAATTTATTTTGGAAAAAAATAGCGTCTCCGAAACGTTTATCTTGGAGAAATAAACGTTACCTTTAAATGTGGAGCCACATTATCCTGCTAGCTTAAAAAGGAAACCCAGCAGATTGCATTGAGTCAGTTATGAATAATATTATTATGTACCAAAATAAGAGCTAAAACAGAAAAATTGCCTGCATAATACAACTTCCTGTCGAAGAAATGAAAAAGTCCATCTTTCCTTTGCATCTGTAGATTTCTGCTGCTCTGACGAACAACTTCGGTGATAACATCAACTCCAACACCATCGCTGCTCTCGGCAATGAGAGCACCAGCATGTCCACAGGTCAGATCAAGGCCATCCGTCCACAGGAGCTGATCAACTCCCTGTTCACACTCAGCAACGTGATAGGCTGGAAAGAAGGACAGGCTAAGAGCATCATTGAGTCTCTGATGACAGTGATGAAGGTATAGTCTCCCATCGGCTGATTCATCTTTCCCATGACCAATTTTATGCTCAACACTCTCCAATTACTTCCTTTATCCTGCCAGATCAATGGCTCTTCATCACTTTTTACGCTGGGTAGTCTCGTCATTGGTGTCCCCTCCAGAGTTTTCAGGGAAATCCCCGGCTCTGAGATTTTGGTCGCCTCCAGAAACCCCTCGCTTGTGGGACACATGATGTCCGCTCCGAAGATCGTCCAGCAGATTTTTGTCACCCAGGTAGGCCTGCATGATTTACGGTACGAGTTTTCATTATCAGGAAAAAAATTAAAGGGGCAGAATTATGTAAAATCAACTTTTTTGAACTTTGCGTTGTGTTACAATATTTTTCCCTCATCAATAACATACCTGGAGCATTGCCTTACTTCTTTCATGAATGTTTGACAAAATCCTTGTCTCTCCATGGCAACAATTCAGATGTCCAAAACGCCCGGGTGTACGTAGCTCTGCCTTTGAGAATGAAGCTAATCTGAGCTTCACTTTCCAAGCTTCCAAGTTTCCGTCTTGCAGTCCAACTGTTTCCCACTACTCCCCCACTCAGCTCCTTCAGACTAGCCAGCAGTAATTAGCAAACACCTGGTGGAACCGAACATCATCTGGCCATAGGAGCTACTTCTCAGTGAAACGCTGGTAAAAACGTTGTTAAAAGGTTAATAGAGGAGCCATGCTGTGATAGCTTCCTGAAAGCTGAGTTTCATAAAAAGTGGGAGCTTCTTTAAGAGACAAAAGCCCAATTTCAGATACAAAGTCTAATTTATTTTCAGTCATATTTGAAATTATGCAGCATTTTTATAACAACTGAAGTTAACAGAGGTCATCGATTGTGGCTGGAAAATACATAATCCTCTCTCTTTAAATGAAACTAAAATGGATTTAAACAAAGTTTGATTTGAACCTTAATTTTGGATTCAGTTAAGTTTGGATAACTTACCACTGGATGCTCATCATCCTTCTGTCAGATTTTATCAGTGAACAGCACCAGTGAGGCGATCATCCAGAACGTTCCGGACGAAATGGCCACTGAGATCCCTCGGGTTTTCCTGCAGAGCATTACAACCAGCAGCATCACAAAACTCAACACGAAGAAATGGAAACGCCAGCAGGTAGAGGAGATTTTTCTTCACTAAAAACTAGCAGATTTTTTTTTTCTCTCATTTGTACTTTATCAGAAGAACAGCAACTTCAGTTCACAACTTTGTTTCGTCAGGCCGAGCTGTTCTTTGGCGTAATCGCAGTGGAAAGCGCCACGGCTGTCCTGGGCAGCGCAAACAAGTAGGTTTAAACAATATTTTTACCAGTCCAGTGTGAAAACGTGGTCTTTTCTTTGTGTGTGTTCAGTGATCACAACGTGTCTGTGTGTGTTTGTGTAGCCTGTCTTCCTCAGTGCTGCAAGGATTCACATGCACAAGTGTGAGAACGATTGAGAAGGTGCAGGTCAAAAACCTGGTCAAAGCCTGTCGGCGCAAAGGCAAAGACAAAGTCAAACTGGTGGAGTCTCAGGTGAGAGTCTGGGAGTATAACTGTATTGATGGTGTTAAGAGAAAAATCTAAACACTCTTTGAATGTTAATGACTATTTGCCAACTTAGTTGAAAATCAGAAGATTTATTATCAATCATTTTTGTTGGTGATCTGAAAAATCAGGCTTTTTAATCCTGCTGCCTTTTGTGCTTTTGCATCAGACTTAAATGTCCCAGATTATGAGGCAAGTTGATATTAGAGTAATGTAACCTAAATAAATGCAAAACGCAGTTTACAAATGAAGTTTTTGTTTTATGGAAAAATCTATCCAATGCAACCTCTTTTAGATTAAAACTTCCTTATGCACTTAGCTAATTTATTGTTTTATATTTAAATATGTTTTACAGTCTGAAACATTAATATGTGACACAAACAAAAAAAGTTTTCTCTTAGGTTAAAAATGCTTTTTGTTTTGTTTTTTTCATTTTCCTGCAAAGTGGAACATTTTATTTCACACAAAATTTCTTAGTATTAAAACCAATGTATAAAAAAGCGAGATTGTATAGTAATAGTATTTTGTACAAGTCTGTAGCAGAAAATGATGTACAATTATTAGAAACAGGCATATCAAACCCACAGTCCCAGGGATTTGCCTGAGAGTCAAATTATGTTTCCATAAATGTACATATTTTTTCTAGAACTATAGAAACACAGCTTGCAGAACTCCACATATCTTTGCAGACATTGTACCCAGATGTTTAACGCTGTAATACCTCCAAATTAACTTAGTCATTTCTATTTCTGAGTAAGCAGTGAAGGGAATATGCAACACGATTTGGTAACAAGTAAATGCATTTTGTCTCATCAGTTGACCTGCATGTTCAACCGCATCAGAGGAGATTCAGACATCACCAGCTTTGATCTTTTCCCTCCAGATGTGCTGCTCTACTATGAGTAAGTCCTCTTGCAGTGTCTAACTAGTTTTGGACTCCTGGTTAAATGCTGACTTGTTCATGTCCTTCTCCCTGCCCAGCTACTCTCTGGTGTCGCAGAGCAACTGCAAGCTCTACTTTGAACAGCTCAGCGACGCCGACTTCTCGGTGTTCTCCTCCCAACTCAGCTACAAACGGGATGCTCTGTTCAATAACGCCAGGAACTGCCTGGTAAGGCCACTCAAAAAACTATCGTTGATCACAAGAATCAGTGTCTTCATAATTTAATGCTCTGTAATTCTAAAAAATGGAGATTAAAGAAAATGATGTTGAAAAAAAGACGTAGGCCATCGTTTGTCACACATTGATTAGCATTATGTCCACAGATGTCAGTAGATGACAGAAATGCTCCTTTTGTTGTTTTACAGATGCCATTAATAACATATTTTTTGTTCATTGTTTCAAATGTATTTTTTTCAAAATATAGATATTGTGTATCAGTTAATATTTAAATCTGAATACATGTTATCAAAAGCAAGGAGCTAATTTATATCTCTAGTCCAACTAGCTGGTTGATGTATGTGATGTTTACCTTTGCAAACCTATAGACAATATTTTTACAAATCTATAAAAATTTACTTTTGAATAACTTTTCTCACTTTTATTCTGCATTTTCAATTATTAACATAAATGCAGCCTCATATAGTTTGATGTTAATAAGCTAAGCTAAATGATCAAATTTACTGGCAGCCAGTCAGAAAGATAAATATGCCAAAGAACATTTGTTTTAATTTATATTTTACAATGATGATTAAAAAGTAGGTCGGATTTGGTGATTTAAAAAATTTCTGATTAGAAAATATATTAGATTAAAAAAATTTTTCCTCATCTTTCCTCAGTTTTCTGAGGCCCACCTTACCACCATGTTCTAATGTTATGTTGCTCATGTCTGACTCTTTATCTCAGGGCATAACAACCACAAACCTGACTAAAGCTCAAATAACAGTTCTGGGAAACATGTGCTGCTACCTGAACACCTCTTACATCCTGAACTCTGATGAATCCATCTTGGAGAAACTGAAGACCTGCCCGGATCTGTCTGCCACTCAGGCGGCCGCAGTGGAGACCCGTCTGACTCGTGGGACCGTTAGATATCGGTAAGGATCTGTGTCTTTGGCAGAAATTTGTTGCCTTTGTTGGCCTTTAAAAAAAAAAAAAAAAAAAAAACGTTTTTTTTTTTTTTATATACAGAGTTGCTGCGACGTGGACTGAAACAACCCTGCGGAACCTCGATACATTTCCTCTGTACATGTCTTCTGATTTCTTTGACAACTTTGACAAAGTAAGTCACTGCTTCAAAAAAAAAACGTGTGTATGCAGATGAAAGAACATGAACGATTAAATTTTTTTTCTCTTGATTTTCCTGTTTCTCCTGCTTGCAGGACATGAAACGCTCTTTCTTAAAGTACTACCTGAAAGTTCTCAGAACTAATGGAGTCAGCAGAGCGAAGATAAGGGCAATGAAATCAGAAATAACACAATCAATTAGACGCAGACTTAAGCGACAGACAGGTCAGCTGATAATCCTTTCATCTGTTTTTTTTTTTATGCTTGTTCATCCAGTAATGACTGATTTTCACAGTTCTTCTTCTTGTTCCAGTCACTGAATGCACAGCAGGAGAAATCAACAAGATCATAATCTATGATGGCACCTTCCCCTTCGACTACCCCGACATCAATCAGTTCAACAGCTGTCTCAGTGCTGTGGTCGTCAGGGACAACCTGGAGGTCATCACCCAGAAGGTGGATCAAAAGGATTACCTTAAGATTGTTCTCAGCAAGCTGCAGGAGGTGAGCACATTCAGCGTGATGACGTATCAACCAGTCTAACGTTAGGCTAACCTTAGCATGCTTTCTCTTCATTTTTATATGACTTGTTGATAATTTGACTTGCAGCATATTTCAGTGCAGCTCAGGTTAAACTTTGGCAAAAAAAAAAAAAGATTCTGCTGTTTTTCTGTATTGCATGTTTTCCACATTATGTGGGTCCCAAATGAGTATTAAGAAAATAAAAATCCATTTTTTATACACGGGGTCAATTTGAAACCCATTGACAATCCCATCTGAGTTGAATTTTCCAGTCCATTTCCGACTCACATGGATCACACTGTAAATGTTTCACAGCAATCTTTCATTTTACTAGATTCTCTTTTAGTCTTTTTGTATTCTTGGTAGGGGAAGAGAGACTCAGTTTGTGGTCATTCAGGTTACATTTTGTGTACTATTTGATTTGTGCTGTTCAAAAACAAATGTTTACCATTTTTATTTTGTCCACTATGATGGAAACTGATGCACCATGGAAACAAAACCTAAGGATTTTAATTTTAACTTCTAAAAGGGCAGAATTAAAAGCCATTACATCATATTGATTATTAAAAGACAAAGATAAACCCATCCTCAGTGTGTACCTTAATTTCTCCTTTAATTCTTTGCATAACTTTCTGTATCTAGGCATACAGCACCATCATCCCTGGAGACCAGGTCCAGGTCTTGGGCCCGGCGTCGCGCGTTGCCTCGGTAGATCAGATTGATACATGGAACATCAGTCAGGTGGACACGCTCGCATCTTTGATGGACACAGCAAACGGAGCGCTGGATCCAAGCTTGGTGGGCAAACGGTTAAATGTGCTGTGCTCGTATTTGCCGTCGGTACGCCTGTTTGTTCACATCAGTGCTTTCTGCTGTTTCAGGCTAAAGCTATCATCTCTAAGTATCTGAGCGTGGAAGGCAACAAACTGGAGAGCGTGGCGCTTAATGCTATCGGAGGGCCAAACCTGTGCTCTGTGGACGCTGAGGTTCTTCGCAACATCTCTCAGCAGAGCTTGAGGTAAGTACTCATTGTTTTGGGTTTGCTCGACTCTTAATCTCACTGTATTGTCTGGGTCAGGGTGAGGTAAAATTGAGGATTGCCTTTTCTGAGGTTGCAGAACCATAACCACATTTTATAAAATAAAGTTCATCACAAAGTTTATGCAGTGACATTAGTATAATTAAAATGTAGCATAAATGTATTTCGGCATGGTTCATAATCAGACGGTGTAAAAGCAGGTTTTTTAATGTTGCAGCTGATTAACATGGAAACTATTTTATTTTATTTTGAATTATTTTTAAGTATCAGTTGAGAGTTTTTTGCCACTGTGGTTAGAAAGAAATCAATAAAATTCCACTAAAAAAAACTCAAATTTTGTGACTGGTCTTAGAAATTATCCAGAAAAAAATGTGAAAATGTTTTTGAGTTTGACAAGTGAAAAATTTATGATTTTTGAAAGTCAGAACATTTACAAAAGTCAAAAATGTTCAACTTCTGAAACTCAGAAATTACCCCATTTTTTTTTCAGAAAGTTTCTAAGATTAACCTCAAAATTTCAACGTTTTTGGCAAACATATAATCCTCCTTTTTTCTGTCTATTATATCCTAACACGCATTCATCATTTGCTCGTTATTGTCTAACGTTGATATGATTGTTGTGAAGCAGTTTGGTCAGCTGATACTGTTGTAAATGTGTTGCATAAATAAACTTTGACTTGACTAAATTTATTGGATCTATTTTTGATCCGGTTCATAGTTCCTGCCAAAAGGAACACAAGCCCCGAGTTTCAGGCGATATTGAAGTCGTCTTCCACTTGCTGGTTGTTCTGGCCAACAAAAACAACTTTTAAAAGCATTTACCAAAATATTGTTACTCTGATTAAATTACATGTTTCGACTTATTAAAGTCTGATTTATTGAAAATATAGTGTTTCACTGAGACATTTCAAACATATTTTTTTGCACTTTTTGCTGCCTCAGAGATGCCAATGCTTTGGATGTGTCCAACTGCACCAGTGACAAACTCAAAGTGCTCTTCAACATCGCCCTGCAGGCGTTTCAAACCACCACTAGGTCAAGCATTCCACTGTACCAGCTCATACAGCCGTACCTGGGTGAGAAGACAAACACATGCATACACACACACACACAGACATACAAACCTGCAGCAGTAAATAGAAAACATCTCTTAAAGATTGAGCAAAACGTAAACACAATTTCTTTTTTGTCCTTTAGGAGGGGCACCTTCTGAGTTTGTTAAAAGTTTGGCAGCCTCCAACATCAATATGGACCTGCAGACATTTGTTAACCTGGACGAGAGTGTGGTTCTGGTCAGTGTCATCTGGTTTTTTTTATTTGTTCTGGTAATGGTGTGATGTAATAATGAACAAAAATGGGTGCAGATATTGTTCTTGCGATACTTAATTCTTTCAAACCTTTTATGTCTTATCTACAATACCGAGTATAAAATTTGACCTGCTTTGCTCTCCACAGAGTCTCCTTGTTAATGAAGTTAGAAGTCTTCTTGGTGACAACCTGCCTGACTTAAAAAGCTTTGAAAATACACCGATAGTGAGGAACTGGATCTCAAGTCAGCTACAATCAGAACTCGACAAGCTAAACATTGGGCTTACAGGAGGCCGAGCTGACAGCTCCGTCTCTCCCAACTTGAGTTCTGACACAACCACCCCTCCTGCTACCACAGCTACAACAGTCACAACTGTCAAAACCACCAAAGGTGAGTCTTCTTCAAAGACGTTCTCAGTGGAAGCAATAGCCAGAACGAATGATTTCACTGACAGAGAGCTGTGTTGTTGACATCGATGGAAGGATGTTGCAACAAAACTTAACAGTAGCTGTGTTTTCATTACAGATGAGCGCAAAGCTTTGCCAATATTCCACTAATATCTAAAAAAAACAAAACAGTGGGATATTGCTTGAACATTGCAATTGAGAAACGCAGTTAAAATCACATATGTCCATTTCAGTGGGATAGAAACCAACAGTCGCTGTAACCGCTCCTTAGCCGTATTGGATTCACACTCTATCCTCAGTTTCATTAAACATATAATTGTGAAAATAAATTTACTGAAGGGACCCATAGCAATAAAAAAAAACAAAAACACCTTTTGATAAAGTGTTTTGTGCTCAGATGGGGTGTTTTTGTGTCTGTATGAAATTTTTTTTCACATCATACGAGTCGTGATCTACAACCGAATGTTACTATGGAAAAGACGGAGAAGATGACAGGAAGTGGTGGGAGGACGATGGTGTGGCACGCTTTACTTTAATGAATAAACATATTCACAAGTGATTTGAACTGTGTTTCTTGTCAAACGGAGACACTGCAATTGCAATAGTTTTTTTGACATTAGCAGAACGTCAACAAAGTTGTGCGCACATTGGTCAACATAGAAATAGTGACCAATTTTGAATATTTTTATTCATATTTAATAGTGAAACACACAATATTGCATGTCATTAAACACAAAGTTTGAAAGTTTTATTGAAGAAAAACAAATTTTTGTCAATCTATATTTCAAATAAAAAGCAGAAACAAACTTTAGTTGCAAATCTCTAATACGGTGTAAATTTCCTTACTTTTTTTTGTTTTTGCAAAATTATGCTTTGAACCTTTGACAATTTGAAGATTTGACATGCTCCCCAGATGTTTTATTGAGAAGTATAAAGCAGTTTCCAGTTGTTCAAGTTTTACCTTTAAAGCCTCAAAACTGACTCAGCATTTTACCAGATGACAAAGCAGATAGTTGCGTTTTTTTTTCTTTAGTAAACGATTCCTAGGAAATGCATATACAGGATATTTTCTGGTTAAAATGAGATTATTAGTATTTTTATGTGAAACTGTTGGAGGGAAATTTGAACTGTTCTGAGTGTCTAAAACCCGTTTCTGTTTTAGGCGCCGGGGCCCGGATCCATGGAGACGTCGCTGGCTTCACTTTCTTCGTTTTCCTTGCGCTCCTCGTCTCGTCCAATCAGGTTTTGATCTGATGAAACGCGCGTCTGATGATCAAACATGCACTGCAGGCTAAAATCAGTGCTTGGATTAAAGGGTGAAATTATTTCTAGCTATATGTCTAATTGAAAGTAAATACTGTGCTGATTATGTTGTTTATAATGAAGAAAAATATTTCCTGAAAAATATTTGCACAGAAATGGGTGCAAATATTATGATTGTGATTACTTAATTATTTACTTAAAAACATTTTATGTTTCATCTATAATACAAAATGTACTTATATTGCAATTTGCAGTAGGGGTATTTGTGAAGGGGGAGATATTCTGTATTTTTATTCTCCATATTTAACTTCTGATACCTCATATGAAGGATGCTTCTGTTAACACTTACTGAAATAAAATACTTTTCTTGAGTAACCTCTGCACTTTACTAATCATGATGCTTTATCTTTGCATTTCCCTCTGTAAACCTTTAAATCCTCTGAGCTGCGGTTTCTGCCTCACAGAGCAGCGCTCCCTTTGGTCTCCCCGACTCAGCTCCTTCAGACTAGCCTTCAGCAATTAGCAAACACCTGGTGGAACTGGACATTTGCTGAGCTCATTACACGAGCTACTTCTCATTGCAACTCTGCTAGAAGCGTTAAAGGGTCAATAGAGGAGCCATCTGGTGGTGACCTCCTGAAGGCGGAGTTTCAGAAAAAGAGATAGAGGCCCAATTTCATGGTGTCAAATTACAAGGTCAAATTTCTTCTAAGTCATACTTGACATATATTGCATGTTATAACAACTGAAGATAACAAGGTTACTTGATTGTGCTATAAAAGGACACTATATGAAAACACATAGCACAGCCACTTAAAAAAATGACTTAGAAAGCAGATGATCCTCTGCTTGTGGCAAATGGACATCCAAAGAAAATCAAAACTAGAATAAAAGACTGTTGATCATAAATATTTCGATCAAATATGGCAGAAGAACAGCCATCTACCACCATTTCTAAATATTTACTTAAAAAATCAAGGTGACCGTTTCTGTTGTCTGTTTTAACTAAACCAAATCCCACTGTCTTCAACAGACACACGACTCAAAGGTTCATTCTGTGATTGATAATACATGAATGAATGCAGACAACCATTCATTGCGCCCGATTTACTTGCGGTCAAAAGAGTGAACATTTGTAGCAATCATATAGTTTAACTCTTGCAAGATAATCAAAAAAAAGTTTATTAAAAACTCTCCATGAACAGGACAGTCTTGACGTTGAGGGTTTAGATAACATCTGCTCTGATAAGATTTTTTTTTAAAAAGGGACAAGCATTTAAAACAATCTGAACCTCTCTGTTGATCAGAAGAACAAAGAAAAAGTTGTTGCAGATTAGTCTCATTTAGGATTAGATGATGAATCAATGAGCCGCCAGCGGTTATAAGCGTCTATGAACTCCCAGGACAGTCTTGCAGGTTGGACAGCGGTGCTTGGCGTCTTTCAGGCTGTCCATGCAGAACGGGACGAGGCAGCATCCGAGCACACATCTGGAGGAGAAAGTGGACGCATTCAGAACCTCCCACTCACATCGGCGCAGCAAATTCACAATCACCACCTGACGGCGTTACTTAAACTCGCTGACTTTATATGCAGGCCCAGAAACTAATCATTTTAGTTGTGACGATCTGTAAACCTGTAAATCCTCTGGAGCTGCAAACATGATATTCAAATTAGCATTGATTATTAATTTCTAAAAACAAATATGAAAAATGAAATAACATTTATAAAATATAAAATAACAACAAGGTACCAACATATGAATCTCTAAAGGAAAGTATGGCCTTGGATGTTGCTTGTAAAATAATTTTAGAAATTTTAATAGTTCCCCATGGACTGAGGGTGTATGTATGAAAATCTGTAATTTGGAAACATTCTTCTTTTTTTAGATTATTTTATTTATAATGTTGTACAAAATGACATACAGAACAAAGAAAAAACAACTCAACAATACTTAAGACAAAGGACCAAACCCAAACCCTTCCCACAAAAAGAAAAAAATTAAAAGTGGATCTGGGGTTAGTGCACATCATGACAAATATGGACTGAAAAAGAAACCTTATGTTAAATATTTGGGGTAAAAAATGTATCTAAATCATGAAAGTAAGGTTCTCTAATTTTTTAAAAAGTTTTTGTATTTTTTTATCCTTTGGTTATATGTGTTTTTTTTTCATGGAGAATACAACTATTCATTTCTGAAAACCATTGAGAAACGTTCCTGGGGCCTGATCCGATCGACCAGCAAACATTTTGCTTTCCATCACACAGCCAGAGCGGTCGAGTTATCACATTTATAATAGATCAGAGATAACAAGAGAAGAAAGTCAGGAAATCAGAAAAAACAGCCAGCTGAGAAAGTGCAATGCATTGTTACGCTGTAAAACTTCATCATGGAAATTCTTTTTACCCATATTACGGTAACTAATCAAATGAGAATGCAAAGAAAAAAATACCCAAAAAAGGAAGCAGATATTAAAGGAATTTGTTGAATGCCTTTGAGAAGCCAAAACCTGCTCATAGTCCGGTACTCATCTCATGAATTTAGCATTTCCATAAGTCTGCAAGCATTTTTGATATACATTAATTAAATTTAGAAATGTGGCTTTTTATATGCGTTGAGGTTGTCAATTTGAAAACTAAAAAGGGAAAATGTGCTTTTTAAAATTTTTTTTTCTCCAGTAAGAAGCATGAAAAATGAATCATTTGACTCTTATTTTAACCCCTCACAGCCTGATGCTCAGGAGGAGCGCGGCAAATGTCACGGTCGGATGTCGGGGAAACGGGATGTTATGCCCAAGTTGTTTCTCTGTCAGCAATTTAATACTTAAAGCCCCACCTCCAAAAAATATGCTCTACCAAAACAACAGCAGCGTTCCC